GGAGAGTATAAGACTGAAAATCAGGAAAAGGTTATCAGTCCCCTTTTGAAAAGAATATGGAAGAAAGTTTAAATCGATGCACACACTTCTGCATATCTAGGATCTCGAGGTTCGCGCAACCCAAGAATATATGGACTGCCAAAATTGCACAAGATGTCCCTTTACGACCCATTTTATCAATAGTGAACTTACCCCAAAACAAGCTGGCCCAGTGGTTATGCAAACTTACTAGCCCTGTCCGTGACAGGTTATCGAAATTTACAGCAAAAGATACCTTTCAGCTGAGAGCGGATTTACCCAACATAGACTACCGCAATTGTCTCGTATCCTCCTGTGATGTCACATCTCTGTTCACAAACGTCTCAGTCGAGGAAGTTGTGGATCGAGTATACAAATACACATGATGTGGGGTTCCCTATGGATAAACGAAAGACCTTGTTAAATTTATACGTCCGTGATGTCCAGTTCTGCTTCAATGGGAAGTTGTACAAACAAGCAGACGGAATAGCGATGGGGATCCCACTTAGGCCGATACTTGCTGATTTGTTCATCTCAACACTAGAGAATGAACTGCAGACTGATTTGAATCCTGTTCTACTTTATCACCGTTACGTTGACGACACGCTGGCTATTCTGAAGAACAAAGCGGATACCGACTTATTGCTAGGAAAGTTGAATTCACTACTCTTAACTATCAAATTTACGGTAGAATGTGAAACCAATGGCAAATTACCGTTCTTAGGTCTACTTCTCAATCGGTTACCAGAGGGTAAACTGCAAATAATTACACATTCGAAGCTTCTATCCCATGGGTTACAAAAAGGAGACTGAAAAAAACACTATCTTACCGACTACGTCAGTTGTGTAGACTCGAAGTTGTGTCAACGAAATAAAAAGACTAACCAATACACTGATGGACAATGACTATCTCCTGGCGTTTATCCGAAGGTACAGTTCCCCTCTAAATCCCAAACCAAGATGACCATTAGTAAAGAAGAAAGACGTATTCATCCATCTACCTGTTGAAGGTGACACTGTGTTGACTAGAACAATTTGATGCAGTCGAAACGAAGATAGTGCATTAAAATCTTCATTGTCTCAGCCGCCCTAACTTAGATAGACAGGACGCTCATGCCACCTCCAATTGTATTTACCAGTCTCAAAATACCTGTGGTATAAGGCACATGGGAAGGATAAAACGCCGTCTCTACCAGAATGTGAGCATATCCCGAACAACTTGAGTCTTCGTGGCGAATAATTTACCATCTAGTACAATGACATGTCGTTTGTTGGATTCAGGTCACTGTGTTGACCCGACTAGTGCTTTGAGGATCATCAAGAGATCAAGCAGTAAAAACCTGCGTAAATTCACGGAGGCAGTAATCATTCACGGGACAAGGCCTGAGCTATATATCCAAAAGACATTTGTTACGCAACTTATATTGCTGTAGTAGTGACCTGTGACCTCATCCTGATTTGTCTCCCATCGCGCGTTTTAGCGCGAATAACTCTCTGTTTGTTTAAATATGTACAGATGCCTATTGTTTAAACTTGATGTAAACATATATAGTGTACGTTAGTGTAACAGCCTGGAATGATCAACCGTTGCCACTGGTACGAACGGAATTCACTCAGTCATCCACAGCGTTTACACAGCCCAAAATGGTAACGTTCCTCAATGATAACCGCACAGTTGACACAACGGCCGACAGAGCATATATTCCGAGAGAGAACGCGTATGAAAACACAGAATATATTGATACACAGTTGTGCGTGAAAACGTGGGTATGATAGTTCGGGCCGTAACAGCACTTGCATACAGTTTTACAGTTGTGTACCGAAATGGGTTCAAACAAGGGGAGTTTGTTTTCTTGATTTGGTCACTCTTCTCGTGCCCTATCACGCTCTTCAAGCTCGGTCATTGTTGGGACATCTAGAATGGCAAAAAGAGAATAAGGGTTTATTGGCGGTCGTTTTAACTCTTCAGACACTACATTAGCAGCTGATTGAGAGCACGCGAAATTGATGGTCAATAACAATTCTGCCCACACTGTTCTTTTCGCTCTACTGAAATGGGTCAAGTGAAACCAGTGTTTCACAAAACCATTATAGTCGATCGGCGGTGTGTGTTTGATGCTTTTCAGATAATTGACGAAGAACAGAGATCTGGTCGGCGCGTCTTCAACCTGGGCGGAATCCGGTCTGTTGTTTGCGGGCGTTCCTGTCGCGATCCGGTGTCAGACGGCTCAGAAAAATCCAGGCTAATACCTTGGCTACTATCGGAATCAAGCTGATCCCACATTGGTTACCACTGTCATTGCGTATTTCCTTTTTGAATGTGGGTACAAGCAGTGACTCACTCCATGATGATGGGATACGCTCTTCCTGGTTCGAAATTCGCAAAACCAACTACCTAATTTGCCTTCGCGATTTTTTCACAGATCTGTGAAATTCGCGAAATCCTCGAAAAACCTGTCCGAAGTGTTTGTTTCGGTTTTGTGACTCGCGTTAAACATTCACGACTCATCCTGATCCGCAACGGGTTCTGGAACATAACTTCCCAAATGGTCTAGTTGTCACTTTATTGCCAACTACCATTGTTCTGCCATCGGTTCCTTTTCTTCACTTGCCTCACGAACATTTTGCCGAACTCTGTCCAAGTCCATACCATGTTTCATTTCACACGTGGGATTGTGTGATTTACGAGTTCCAGCGTCATTCAATCTTACTATGCCACTAAATGGTACCGTCCCATTGCCTACTCCCTGCAGTTCAACTTCTTCTGGGCAACCGGTGACCAAGTGGTTTGAAACGTTTGTTTACCGCGTTGGAGTTCAAAGGTTTGCATCCCGCGATCACTGGTCACTTAGGTGGTAGACAGTAATCCGCTATTGTCCGGCTCGTTACTACACCCGAACTAACAGGACGTTATGTGCTTCTCCAGTCCGAGTCTTAGGGTCTCGTTGTAGGTGCCCTCTGATAGTGGAGTGGGCCTTTATGGCTCATGTGGACGTAATGAAAACATTCTTCATTGAGTAAGGCAGCCTTCTCAAAGTAAATTGAGATTGGTCTACTACGTCTCCTCAAAGGATACTAGATACAATGATTGTATGGGGATCACATTTCCCAAATTCAAGGTTGAAGCGGCCATTCACTTGATAGATCTGCAACCTTGATTTGGATTTTGAGTTCAATCAGTCCACTATAATTGTGCGCAAGTCTGATAGAAGTATTACATATGAATTTAATGTATCGCAGCTGAAATAAGTTCGGAGTGTATCGAAAAAACAAAACGCCGCGTTGCTGTTGTAAATGAGCTTCTAATGCCCGATTACACAACGTTGTCGACAACGCTGTTACCGAGCATGAAACGCTTATTTTCCGACGGATTATGATCACTGAGCTTGGCGTTTCGGTCACAAACGTCTAATCGCCAACTCAGGTGACATTGTTCAAGCACGTCCGCAAGCGGATGAGAGACAGTTCGACCAATTTTTCCCGCTATTCTTGGTTGTTGAGTCGAAGTCACACTGAAATATCAAACTGCACGAGTTTTTCGCACATGGACACGATTGACCCCAGACTTCGACCATCGCTAAACGTTTGATAATCTGACAGTTTCGGTCACATTGTAACCGTTAATCATTCACGTGTTCACGTATCATTTCATGCCACATTCTCCCAACTATTCACTATTTTAGCCTATCCAAAACCGAAAGAATAGCTTGATGATACGGTCGACGGAAATGAATGCCCGGGTGCAACATGAGAACGAGTTCGGGAAATGAGTAAACATTTTGTGTGTAAAAGCAATTCCTGACTCGAACAACTTACGGTGCTTTCTCAGCAGAGGCTGTTCACCGTCTGTACTCGAATCCCACGATAAAGCGCAACTTCATATCTATTGTTCGACTGCGAATTCGCGTTGTGAACGGACTAAGTAATCAGTGTTTACGACAATATTGATGTGTTGTGCTAGCGATGGCGCTCGCATCGATTTCGATCATCAGAACGCCGTAACTTTGGTTCAGAGCGTCCTGGAAGTTGCAATGGTCTATTTGTTGTGCGGTTGTCCAGCGGGACTTGTCGCACAAGACCACATGCAGGATTCTCTCACGTTGCACGCTTTGTCGTTTGCGTGCGTTCATACGTTTTCTATGTTCGTTTGTGTGACTGTGTGTATGTATGTATGTATGTGTGTGTGTGTGTGTCATGACCTCGATTAGGCATTGTGTGCTGGCCTGGCTGTTAGGCCGTCGTGATGTCTTCAGATGACTCATGGTCTAACCGACTCGCCCATTCTGCCATTCCGAACCAATCCAACCAGCTGGCCAGCCTAAAACGCATTCACATAGTGTTTGAGTGTGTCTGTGTTTGTTGTATGCGTTACTGAATGTTCTTCATTCATTACCAGTAAAATAATTCTGTGGACTGAGGCTTGCTGATAAGCTAATTGGATTGGGCTTTCACTTCTCACAACCCGTTTCTGTCCCGGTGTGGGGAGTGGTTTTTCGGCACAGTTTTTGTTCGAAACAAATCTGAAATGACTTCGCTGTCTGCTCCTATCGCCGCTTTTTCATCCCCTGGGTTCACTTCTCGCCAAAATAGCATATTTTTTGCATGATTTATCCGCGTATGTACTCGAATATGTCTTTTACCATCTTACATGTTCACACGTATCTGATATCAGGCTGTACTGTGTGATACGGACCTCTCTTTTCCCAGTTCAAAATCAGATTTGGTTTGTCACACATTGCAACGCGTTTTTCTGAATTAATCCGGACAGATGCGACGCTTGTTGTCTGTTACTTTTCTGATACATCTTATATCACAATAGGATAAAACATCTAATGGTAAATTTACCCCTTTTCGCTTCCTTCCCTTTTTGACTCGACGCTCACCACCATCATCTCCGCTCGTGCGCCTTTCCCTTCTTCATCACTCCCTCATCTCTGAATCTGGTGTTGATCCCGTGTCGGGGACTGTGCTGTTCTGTACAGGATGTGAATGACGTGGCGCCCCGTTTCGCTGTACCTGAACAGACATTATTTATCTCGGAGCGCTGGGCAGTTGGCCACCCGGTGTTCCATCTCCAGGCCACGGATCCAGATTCAGGCTACGGTGGTCAGGTATGTGTTTCGATTCTATTTTGCATCGCAGTTTCAGCTACTGTACCTATCACGCCCACAACGACAGTTGCAACGAACGATAGTGTTGATGGCAAGCATGATAAAGTTGATTGCACCTTCACCGAGTGTCCGTTTTTTCTTTACTCATCGTGATCATCGCGCCTAGGTACACGGTGATCAATCCGACATGTGATTGAGACCACGATATTCTGTCAGTATCTTTCGTACTATTTCAGTACATTTGTCAGACCACTTGTGGTTAGAAATTCATCCATTTGCATGGGATTCGTTCGACATCGTTAGTTTCAAGTAAATAGATTCATTTCATCTTCATGCATGCATGCATACGGTCGAGGGGTCTAGGCGTATGCATAGCGCTCTACTACATTGTCCTGGAGAACCGGAAACCATGATCTTGAGAACTTAAGTGGTGAACAACGCGAGACGCTCATAAATCAGGCAGTGTAACCATCCGGGCAGCGGTGAATTGCCGGACGAAGACGGGTCTCGAATCTATTATCATTTGCTTGCTTAATAGTCAAACACACTACTCGATCTCGCCACCTGCCGTATTTATTTGTATCAGGCGAATGCAGTCATATGGCAGTAAATGAAAGCGCTACGGGGACGTAGTTGGTGATCCACTTTTAAGCGCCTGGCAGCCGAAAGCTCCTCCTCCATTGTCTACGTTTTCGTGATTTCGATAGGATCTCTTTCAACCCTTTAATGTTTGGAACACGCTTTTCCCGAAATAATTTCGAACGGAGAAGCCAGTGTTGTATCATTGCGCGATTTATGTCCAGGTAGTTTTCGCTGCATCTAAACATGATAAATGCTGCAGAACAGTAATGTAAAACAAAAATACCCAAAAACAATAGGAAACAAATGGGAGGGTAAACTATATCATCATGCGAGGACAAGTTGTAATGACCCACAAGACGTAAGGAGGATTCCATATATTCGGACAACGACCAGATCACTGGGTCATAACAAAACTGTTCATTTACACTGATGAGATCCGGTCCCGTTTCATCCAGTTATTATTTGATCGAAGGTTGCCATCACGTGGTTCGTATGCCCTGTTTCATCTCATTGTGTTCAGCCTATTTGACACGATGACGTTCATTGTCGCTCCGTAGCCCATAATTGGTTTCGCGTGACAAATTACTTATCACCCAAATTAGTAGTACGTATATTATACCACAAAGAAAATAAACAGTTTTTTATCCTGACACTGGAGGTTTCCATCGAAGTATAGCAGTGGTTTCGGCATACCTCGATAGGATGAAATTCAGTGCCGCGCATATGACCCGAAACATAGTGTTTTGGTTAACTGGGTGTTGCATCCTGCAGCTCTACATTGCGCTCGCTCTATCCATTTGTCTTCGGTTCAAAGACATCTTGTGTACGAATTAAATCAGTTGATGATCATTCTTCTCATTCGTTAGTTTATTTCGCGTCGCGTCGTCATAACAAATCAAACGGAACTGAATGAAGTCCTACAGTTTTGTTCCACCTTTAAACCTACAACGGTAATGCTCCCTCGCTACCCCATTCAGAATTTGTCTGTTTTCCATTGTTAGGTGCAAGATTTGGTTCATCTGGCCGTCTGTGGGCGCTGTCACGGTTCAGTGGAAAACTGATTTATAAACGAAAGCCTGCGATGCCTTGTTGGGTTTATCTGATTTCAACTCAAAAAAAAACCTCAATCTTATCGCTCGGGTAAACATTCTATGGAGGCCCAGTTGATGTAATCAGACAGAACAGATGTGAACCGGCTGTTGCGCTGGATGGTGACTTTTTCTGATTTGTGAATATGCTCGTTTCGTAGAGTTCTCCAATCTCGAGAGCTGTATTCAAGAGAAGTTTTCAACTTGTATACGCGGCAACATACATTCATTTTGTTAACGCAGTGGTTCAGGTCAATCCATTCACTCAATCACTTCCCATTTATGTGCACTTTGATTTTAATGGTTTCTTTGCAGTATTTTAAGGTCGAAAGTGGAAGAAATGAAGATCTACTGAGCGAAGAAACAATTAACTAATATAAAAGTGAAACTTATCTACAGACAAAAAATATCGAAATCAAATTACCCCACTAAACGTGTCTCCCGCCGTCCAGTGGGTGGGTCTAGTGAGCCTAAACCCGCAAGCCTTAAACGTCTTACTCTGTGATGCTTATTGTTCCTGTACAAATCAGTTCCTTTTCGTTCAGTTCAACCACCAACCGCGCACTTCTGTGCTCTGGTTTTAGTTTCTACTTTGCGGAATCCTACAGTTGAGGCCAGAATGAATCGAATCATAAAGTGGAAAAAGCCGAAGACAAAGTAATAATCGGAAATCATGAAAAGAAAAAGAGAACGAATGCAGCTACACCACTGATCGCGACACCTAATGATAACACTTAATGTATCCAACCCTCTGGTAGACGGACATGTTGCCGAGTCGTATAAAAGAACGGACCTGACCGCCGCATTGTATGCCTGACTCTTGGTCGACGGTCGGATATTACTGCTTTGCTACTGACTGCCATGACTATCCCCATACGCAGTTTTCCCATCAAATTGTTTTGAGACTTGAATTCGCCTCGCCGCCGCATGATTTCATTTCCGACTCACGGAAACTATCCCACATTGCTCTTTTACTCTTGTTGGCACTCAAGCCGTCACCATCATTCTCTCAAGGTCCAATTTCTTCTTGATGCATTATATCACATACACAACTTCGGTTTCTCCTAAATTGACCTACCGGGCTAGATAAATTTGCGTGACTAGTCACTCACTTTCGCTTTGTTACTTGCAGAAGTGTTCATCGTGTGTTTCGGGTCGATGAGCTAGCTGTGCCTAGTAAATGGCACTGTGATATCTGTTTCACCGTGAAAATCTTCCGACAACTGACCGAGCGTGGCTCGCGATGAGAGAACTCGACCCACTAGTTCGCATCACTCTCGATCAGTTTAAGTCCGAGGTGACTATGGTGGTGGCTGTGCATTCCTCGGCTGTTAGCACAATAGGGCCCCAAAAAATAGCACACTGCTTGTCCCGCGTGCTTTTTTAAAATACCAGTGATCACAGAAATCCATTTCCTGCACAAGTTAACAGGACTCCGTTGACCGTGGCGCAATCAAACCTCCTGGCTTGCTTCATCGTATTCGGATTACTCGGTGTGACCTCGCTTGTCTGTTGAATAGAATAGTGGATTCGTGAATTTCTGATGCCTGAATTCAGTGTAATTAGTATTTTTTTCTTTTGCCCGGTGGTCGTATTTATTTGAAGTTGGGTGCGGTTTCTTCATCATTCATTCGCCCTTCATACACCCTGTATTCATATTTGCTTGCCCATCTTCACACGAGGGTTGTTCTGGAGTGTGTGATGTGGTACATTGTGTGCGGTACGGTACATTGTCTGTGAAATCATGCTGTCAGTGTAAATTGGTCTAGAACCGGCAAAAGTGATTGTTGCGCAGCCCGTATGCGACCCGCATGGTATTTTAATTGCACATACCTCTGCGCAGTTAGTTTGTCCGCCACTCCATTGTTGTTTGACTTCATTTCTCACTCTCTTTTTCACCTGATCTCTACTTCGGGAAAAGCAGCTAATCTTATTCATATGCTTGACCTTTTACCTGTGATCGTGAGACGGAAAAATATGTTTTCCATTCTGTTACCAGAATTCATCTCAAGGTTTTGTTTTTGTCTGTGTCCGTATCGCTCTGTGCTAGCGAACTTGTGTATTCATGATTACATGTTTACGCATTTGAGTGCTGACGTATTCACACGTGACTGGTTAAGATGCCGTTGGCTTCAGCATATATCGAATCATCTAGTTCACAACACGCGCTGACGGTTTTCAGCGGACACGGGTCGTTCTGATTCGTCTCGTGATTGCACTTCTGCCTCGAATTCTCACTGTTACTCTCTCCTCCACCCCCGATACAGTCACTTTTTCTTCTGAATTCGGCAAATCAGCATATCGAACTATGATTCCAGCGAGCATTCGTGTGTGTGTGTGTGTGTGTGTGTGTGTGTGTGTATGTTTGTATGTATGTATGTATGTATGTATGTATGTATGTATGTATGTATGTATGTATGTATGTATGTATGTATGTATGTATGTATGTATGTATGTATGTATGTATGTATGTATGTATGTATGTATGTATGTGTGTGTGTGTGTGTGTGTGTGTGTGTGTGTGTGTGTGTGTGTGTGTGTGTGTAGGAGAGAAAGAGATTCAGGTTCCCAATGGCAGTCACGATGATGAACACCTGAGGTGATGCAAATGTGCATTTTTATCCGAATGTTAGACTTTTCAAAGCCTAACCAAATATACTAACACTGTGTGTGTGTGTGTGTGGGCATTATCCACCGACACACTGGGAGTTTACGGTCGAACACATCCACCACACCCTGACGCATCCCTTCCCTCCGACCTGTTCTCGTTTTTTCTTGCGTCGTTCTCCATATCTGTGTGAATGTACATCCTCGACCGTGTCTGCGCTGATTCTTCTATGCGGTTGAAAATTTGAATCGATGTTACATAGAATCTTGTCCACTTAATGGACCAGGGTGGGTCAGACACAGCGCGCGGTTCGTAATGACTGGTGATGGAATGTTTACAGTTTGAACGCCAACCAATTAACCATTCAAGTTGACCTTGTAGCTCTACTGTTGCTTTCACTCACAATTCCTTTGATGGTAGACAGCAATCCACTGTTGTCCGCCTCGCTACTACATCCGACCTATTGGAAATTACGTGGTTCTCCACTACAAGTCTCAGGGTCCGGTTGCCGGTTATCTCTAATGTTGCAGTAGGCCTTTGTGGCTATGGGATATACCCTTTCCATTGCATTCACGCTCAAGCATGTTATAAAATTCTCTTGAGCTTATCCAAGTTCGACAATGACTTCTTCAATGAACTGAAGATATTTGAAACTCTCCTCTTATTATATTGCTACAAGCCGTTTTTATTTGTCCTGTCTCGCTCCACGTGACTATTTGTTATGGTTGTGTGTATTCAGACCGTTAGGGGACGTTTGTTTCTTGTGCAGGACTGAAATTACCGCAGCAGCGGACCAGCTGAGGAAACCGAATCGTATAGCACGTCCACGACGTTGTATTGACGTGGGAATGGCGTTTAACCAAAACTCTGATATTTATTCGAACATTCCTAACTTGAATGAGAGTTATTTTCCTGGACTTAGCCTTTCAGTCGATGATGGTTGTCAAACCGCTTGGTTAATCGGTCTATCAGTGTGGTCAACTGATCTCAGTCACCCACTTAGGACACATGCAATAACTGTTCGGTCTCCAGTATCCTCACCAAAACGTTGCTCATTTATGGGTTTTCAGAGGCTGCATCATGTTGAATACTTTTTTATTTACATACTATCCACTACACAGTCATTGGTCGGTACGAACGTCTGTTTTTTCAATTCATTAATGAACCCGTGTCGCATTGCGTGTTTTTCGAGATGATAAATAAAAGATGCAAGAACAAAGCCAAAAGAAGGTTTACCGCCTTTCTCCTTTACCTACAAGCTTTTGTCAACATTCGTCACAAAATAACAGCAACATCATCTCGATCGGTAGACGGTTTTGTATTTGAAATCTAAGTTCTGAAACTTTGATTAACGTTTTTGAATGTTATCAAGATTATCGATCATCCAGTCACTTAAGAGCTGAACTGCACACACACACACACACACACACACAGCGGGAGGGAGCGAGGGACAGAGATTTTTTCTGCGCTAGGCGTACTGTACTCCTACGCTTTTGTTTCATCATCGCGTTCTTTCCACTCTTGTTGCACACGACACGACCATGGTTTTTTCGTCAACCCGGTTTCTATCAAATAAACTATATTACAGTAGAATCAATCAGAGCTCAGCAAACCGGTTGCAAATATTTGATATGAACGTATTTTTCAGGACGGGGAATTTGCTTTCTTCAAATTCTCAGTCGCCGATCGGTTGTTGTATGATTACACGAACTCAGTTGACTTCATTGCATTCGCCATTTTTTTTGTTTTTGTCACACGCACACAGATTGTCTATTCACTGGAACCGCATCAACCAAGTAGCAAGTTTGCACCGATTCAGGCGGACCGATCTGTGGAACCAGTAACCCATTTCGAATGTGATCCAATCACCGGCTTGATTCGATTGACTCGCAAGTTGAACTATCATTCCAATCCAGTGCATCGGTTCTGGGCCGTAGCTACTGATCAGGCTGCCATGTCGTTGAGTTCCCGTATTCCGATCACGGTCAGTGCTGACTGCCTCGACGAATCATCTTCAACACTGATGTCCTCTCTGTCTCTCATTTTCTAGTCATCCCTTTTTGATCGTTTGTGTATGCACCACTGAATCACGACCGTTTTTTTTCTCTCTATATATTGCCCTGATCATGAGCAACGAAATTTTGGATTTCCGGTCTATTGATTGTGATAAATGAGCGTCACTCACTGATCTCGCGCATTTCTGTTTGTCGGTATCCAGTGTTGAACATTACACCATTCAGACACCGTCTGGTTCATTTTTTCTTTTCACGGGTACACTCACCTATGTGTACATCGATTTCCTGTATGGGAACCCAAAATGATTCTCTTGTTTGAGCACTGTAGAACATCGAACAAACTTCATTAGATGGCTTTTGTTCCACTGATTTATCGCGTAGTGACGAGATTCAATTGAAAATGACCAGTTTTTATATCGTGTCTAACGCCGAACTCCTCGACTGGATCCACCAAGCGAACGCACTCATTCGCACACCCACGGACTGACTATCTGACTCACCTCAGTCGGTTGCTCACATTTTTGTTTCGTACAAAAGTGGAAGCACTGTTGATCATAAGCGGGAGCTAAGCCGATGTTAGACCTTTTTAATCTGTGCCATTTTTCTGCATTGACCTTGTTTAGGAGAGTTATCACATTGCATAAACTTTCATTCAAGAATAAGTTTTGGCTGGATGAATAGTTACGAAATTGTAACATTTGCAAGGTTGAAAGAGGATCGAAAGGAACATTTATGCACTCATAGAAGACACTGATCTTTCACATGCTCCTGACGACAGAATGTTTCTTAAATGGATTGTGGTCAACTAATTTCTTCGCTCTCAATAACTAATAAGAATTATCCATCTGAAAAACAAATGGCACAGTGTGGATTTTCGTACTTGATATATTATTATTAATATCGTTTATATTATTTGGGAAACAGGTTGGCGAACAAGCTCGTTTTCAGTGATTCTTAATCACTCCAGTACAACACAGTATGATTAAGTGCATAAGAGATACAGTCGACGAAATAGCGTCACGGATCATTGTTCTCACCTAATGTACATCTCTGCCATTTAAAGGTGACGCTTTGGCAGATGAAGTAAGTGCACGGAAGATTGTAAGCGTCGTCAGCAACACATTCTATACTTCTGGACTGCTGCATGTTTTGTTCACATCTAGCTCAGTGATGTGTTTGCCGGTAGAAGGCAACGTGCCTGTTTCCGCAGTCTCATTTTGTGTGTATTCTCTCACTTGTTCCTGTGGAACAACGTATATCGGCCGCTCGACCAGGCGCTTGTCTGAACGCATTCGTGAGCATCACCCAGCGTGTTTGGAGACTGGAACAATGAAGTCAATTATCAGTGCAGTCGTTTCACACCTGAGACTAACCGCACGGTGAACGTGCATCAAGCTTTCCGCTCCCTGTGTAGGGTCCGAGGTCGGCTGTCAAGATCGGTGCGAAGTCGCATTTTGGCCACAGCGGAAGCGGCTGGGAATCACCTCCACAACTCCTGTAATGTGCTCAGAAGTTTTGTGCATGCACTCAGCGTGTCCTGGCCCATTCATCACCCAACGTGAAGTCCAGGAACGTCCGAAAGCTTACACGCTGAGAACGCGTTAGTTCGTTCACGCCGAATCTCCATATAATCCTGTGCCACACTAGGTGTAAACAATGATTCCTTACGCTATTTTGTTGACTGTATCCCTTATGCACTTAATCATTATATATATATATATATATATATATATATATATATATATATATATATATATATATATATATATATATATAGTATTGGTGTGATTAAGAATCACTGTAAACGAGCTTGTTTATCAACCCGTGTAACATTATTATTCATATATTTTGCATCTACGATTCTTCTGAGTTCATTCAATTAGTTTCGCGACTCATCTGAGATTTTTCTGTTTTGTCACGTGTTTACATTCCTCTCCCATTAGTCTCGTGTTATTCAGAAGCTCTAATCTCTGACTGTTTCCTTCAGGTTCATGTACTAGACTACAATGACCATCCACCACAATTCGATATGCCTGACCGAGTGGTGGATTCTGTTTCGTCCGATTCCTCTTCTTCGTTGCCCAATTGTCTATATCGGGCACGAATCAGTGAACGCGCCAGTCCGGGCACGTTTGTTCTTCGTCTGATGGCCAGTGATCCGGATGTGAATGATACACTGACCTACCATATGACCCCGAATGCGCCGAATCGGCATTCAGAATATTTTCGTCTGGGCACCCAAGATGGCATTCTGCGCTGGGCTCCATTCCGCACTGATCGCGGCGAGGTCGCATTACAGACCTCGATGTTGTCAAAAACGTTGACCGAATTGGACAGCCCGGATTCCCAGTGGTCCACATTTGATTCTTCTGATGCAGCCTTTCCGACGGACAGATTGGAATTTCAGGTCAGTGGTTTGGCCAGGTATCTTTAATTTTGTTTTTCTCGGGATTTCGGTGGATTCATGAACTGGAAACCAACGGCGAACGGTTTTATATTTGGTTCACACACCCTGATGATTTGCTGGGGTTGTGTTTAGTTTTCTTTTTGAATAAACGTGTGACGTGTCTTCTGTTTCTTTCCCGTGATGAAATGCCATTTCGGACCCTACAGTCGAGGCTTTTGGCGGATTTTCATCGTCACACTGGAAACCTTTTTGATTGTGCTGTTGATTTTTTCCCTGTGTTACTGAACCGGTACGACCCGCTGAGAGTTAGCCAGGATAGCCTAATGGTGACATGTATGTGCGTGTCTGTGTGTGTGTATGTGAGAGAGAGGGAGACTCACGATCGTGCACCCAGGGTTCGAGTCCCAGCTGGAGCTTGGTGAATATGCGCTGCTGATGGCAAGAAACAAATAGCTGTTTAGTGCTTCTGTGGTATTCAGCGATAAGCTGAACATTAATACTTCATGATGAATCATCACAAAACAACTATGCTTCACATGAAGAACAAAACGCTGGAGAGCGAACTATTGTTTTTAATGAGTCCTATACGTGCTCTTACAATTTATATGGGTGAGGTAACATTGGAATGCGTTAGCCATTGGCCGGAGTAAAGGTTCTTGTCGTGGCGTTAGGAAAAAGGGAGTTGGTGGAGAGGGGTGTCTCTATCGTGTGCGTGTTGTGTTGAGAGTTTCACTCCCACCGTCACGAGTGGTAATGGATGGTGGACTTTTGGGGTTCGGTCGGCGGTCCGTGGTTTCCGGTTTTGACCAAGGCAGCTGGAGAGCCTGGACTAGTCGCTTTTGTGCACATAGATCAGGACTTAGTAGGCGAATGGCGATTGCCTCTGCCGTGGCCAGGGATCGAAGTCGGACTGGCTTTGATCGATTGGGTGGAACTCGGTATATGACTTTGAAAGCTTTTTCAGGGTCGATCGTGTGACCGCTGTCCACCAAATGACCTAGAATCGAACTGGTAATCACACCGGTTTTTCCCTGACTCAACCATCTTGGGTGATGTTCCTTGATGCCCTGAGACAAACGCCTAGTCGTGCGACCTATGTAGGATGCGCCACATTCGCACCTGAACGAGTAAATGATCATGGGGGAGGTCAGCTCAGGCAGTTTGTCTTTTACCTGCATGCGGATCGCAGGAGAGGTGGAGAATGTGCATTTCAGTCTAGCGGCTGGGAACGTTGAGTTTACAGACGCCCTGAGTGTTTTTGTCAATCGCTCGGCATGTGTATCACCCTTGAACAATACTGTAAGGAATAGTTCCTTCTTCGGTACGCAGGGAGACCGCTTCAGCCATGTACCCGGATTTGATGATTCAGTTATCCTTATTTATTGGTTGGTCGCCCGGTCGGTTGGGGGAGGAGAGGAGGCGATTCGGACGATGTTCTCATCTTATCTGTTCTCGCTTACCGCATCCTTGAGTGACATACTGACTGATACCCACAGTTTTTGGTTGATGCATGACCCCAATTAATCTATCACGCGAAGCCAGGCATAACAAACTATATGTAATTAACAGGTGGGAGAGTAAGTCTGTTCAAGTACTTGAGTAAATCTCTGTTCATTCTGTCTGTCGCAATGTGTATGGAACTGAATGAGCTTGTTTAAGATGTTTGTTCTGTTGGTTAGTAAGTCGGGCGCGGTCAATGACTACCATAACGTAGTGCCCAGATACGCGTGGAAATTCACATCAATCACTAAATTGGCAATCCCGGACAAGACCAAAACATGGAAGTTAATTGCATTCGTGATTTTCCACATTGTGTGTAGTCTTTTATAGGACCTCGTTCACCAATCTCTCTCTCTCTCTCTCTCTCTCTCTCTCTCTCTCTCTCTCTCTCCGGGTGTATGCTTGTTTGTGCGCGTGCACGCATAAGCGCAAAAGTCTATTTCCATATGGTAGTTGCAGAACCACAGTGTCTCTGAAACCAGCAAAACTATGCGTCTGGATCTGGTGGTTCGGAATTGAGATTCGTTCGGAGTGTGGCTAGAGCGGAAACGCTGTGTTCTCTTGATTGTCTTTCATGCGATCATTTGGACTATTAATTAGGAAGTTTTTCGATTTCTCCCTCTCACACATTTTTCATTCAGTGTCTCTTGCCCCATCTGTTTTCCCGGACAGTTTGTTACAAATATACATTGTTTTGTCTGATCCATGTATCCGTTTGTCGCTTCCAGGTTCGTCACTTTTTCAGTTTTCATTTACGTACAGTTGATAGAAGTGGGACCTGCCAATAAAAGAGAAGCTGTACGAACTTTTTTCGCTGAAGCCAAATAATGTACAAGTGTCAGAAGAGTTGAGCTTGTCACGGTGAATAAGATAAAAGAAAAATTCAATTTACTTTTATTTTCCGACAAATTGGCATAGCATCTGGCGATTTGTTTGTTAGAGATATCTTGCCGCTGTCCAAAACATCGGTGTCCCATGGTTCCATATCGGGCACTCATCTCATTTCAATTGACCATATAAGGCTAAGATCGAGACACATTGTTTTTTCTGTTCGTGGGCACGCAGCGACTGCTTGCCGTGTGGGTACCAATCATTACATCAATGGTGCCGAGAAGATGCGAATAGGTTATTCTGAATGGTAGAGAAAAATGAGCTAGTGAGTTCGGTTTAGTGTCGCACACCTACTACGATAAATAATGGTAAGAATTTTATTACTTAAAAGGATGAATCACCTGCATAGAATCGAACAGTTACTGACAAAATCACCTTCTGTTCTAAAAATGACTGGATGTATTTTATCGGACGAGGCGGGAATTCTAATCGGAAAATTGATTGATTGTTCCTAATCTGTTTCTTCTCCCCTGAGATGAAACTGAAGTGAGAAATTTGTGAACTATATAGAGAACACTGGAATAGCGAACGAGCTCGTTTTCGGTAGCATCATCTTCGTGGTCAGCACAGTTACATCTATGGGGTAGAAATATATAATTTACGAAGAATATCTGTGTGTCAGGTTATGATCGGGTAGTTTTTAAATTTGCTTTTGTCTAGTTAGAAAAAAACGAGAAGAGTCTGTAACGATGGAACTGTTCAACCCATCGATTATTTTTCTTCAAAGGGATTCGTTAAGGCACTGCAACTTCTCTGGTCACGATCCGAAACCAGCCCTTGAACTCATTATGACCCAGACGATGGCCCTTTTGATCGAAATCAAAATTGGGTAGTCTCCAGAACATGTCCATTGTTTCGCTGATCTCTTCTCAGCCACGAAATGGCAGTAGTTACCCTCCCATCTTTTTCCTACGAGAGAGCACCAAATTTTAGGACTATACAGTCTCAGATATTGTTCGTAAGTTATGTGTGTTCTACCCGAAGATGGTGTTGCTTCAAGCGTGCTTTTTCATCATTCGTGCCCTTTTTATACATGATGAAATGGGATTCTTCATTGAGTTTTTTGAACTGTTCTTTGCGCATCTCGAATCCGTCTATCTGGGCCACAGTATCTCAGTACTGACCCGTCATTTTGGTTATAGTTTCTCACTCAAACAAAGACGAACCGTCGAAATTACTAAACAGTTTTCCTCCTGCTCCTCCTCCTCCCCGTTATAATTAATAATAATAGTAATAATAATAATAATAATATTACACATCTCCTCGATCCGCAACCCAGGTTTCAATTTGATTTGTGATCTTTGATTATTCCTGTAAATATCCGAGCTTTGTCGCCACACCTTCCAGGTATACGCGTCTGACCAAATACATACAACCATATGCAACGTTCAAGTGGAATTAGCTATTAGCAATTGGCAAGCTCCAGAATTCTCTGGATCGAAACACGAAGTGTGGAATGTGTCTGAATCGATGCCGGTCGGATCACGAATTGGTACAATACAACCAGCTCGGGATGCCGATCGTGGACGTTATGGTCATGTTACATATCAACTGGTCGGAGGACACAATCGTGACCAGTTTCGGATGGATACACGCACAGGTATGCAAATAAATAATTTCAAACTATTTTTGTTTTGGCACGAAAAAAATGTTCTCATAGAATTGTGCTTGTCGATTTCAAGCAGCAGAGATCAAGTATGGCAACGTGCAGTTTTCTTTACATTGAAGGCTTTCGGTGTATTTGATGTAGCTTCATTCTTTTCGTTTTCATCCGTTTTACTGTCACAACCGTTGCATTACATCTGTTTGGAGTCGAAAGTACTATCATCACAAATCGCTGTTTCGACTCAGCGGTGGAATAATTTCATTAGGACTGTTAGGTAATCATTGAGTCACTTAACTGTTATATTCCGTGCTTCTGTTACCATCGCTGACACGCGGTAACAACAAAAATGATAGCTGTTCTGACAAGTATACTACAGTAACTTGACACATTGCGATTAAAGCGAGATTGTGAACTTTTAGTCCCACCATGAAGTTACCATTGTGATGTGAACCAAATTAGTGTTATCTTTTCACAATAAATTCGAATATTGATAACGTTCCCCGTTCAGACTTATGCTCTCATAAACTTCTAACCACTGGAATTGGCGTTTAGGTCGCAAACGAGTCGTTCTTGGTCAATTTGACGTCATCATTTGTGCGTGATGGAACGTGCACGTTCTAAACACCACGTTCGGCGATTAGAAGCTTACGAGGGCTCATCGTTTTCTCCCCTCGGTATCACTTGTTCCACTTGTTGTTTCAGTTCATAATGAGATAATTTCCAGACTCGTGGCCTTTTTACTGTATTCAATATCGGATTGTTGTTTCGTCTCATCATTGCTACTGGAGTTGACAAAACCCCTCGTTTTGGTGTAGGAGAAGGAACAAGTTTCAAAGAGTTTATGCGAATCAGTAGTCGTACCGATTTATAGAGAAGGTGACAGATCCTGCTGTGAAAACTACAGGGACTAAGTTTGATTAGCATCTCATCTCAATTGTCCACTGGCGTTATTCTCTCCCGCTTATCTAGTGTTCACGAAAAGCGCTTGCGCGAGAATCAGACTGAGTTTAGACCTGGTCGGAATTATGTTGATCACATTTTCTCTCGACTACAAATTCCAGAAAATCTTCTTTAGGAACATCATATCTTTTTTCCTTGACCTGAAAGCAACATTCAACTCAGTCGATCTCACAGTTCGCATCATAAAGTCGCCGTACATGAATAGCCAAAACCGAGTTCGGGCTCACGGTGATCGTTCACTCGAATTTACCACTAGAACTAGTGTATGTCACGGTTAGTCTCTCTCCTTTAACCTTGGACTTTGCCACTGAAATGGTCCTAGAAATCACTAATTTGTCATGTGAAGATAGCGGTATTGAACTTTTGCTGGATGGAAAGGAGTCAGAACTTGAATATATGAATGACAGTTCTTCTAAATGCAGATAGAGGTAAGTTACAAGCTCTTCTGGACAACTTGAAAAATTGTAGTTATACTTAGTGTATTCTGCACCTAAAAAGTGCTAGACGCTGCTGGAGGACTGGGTCGGTCCAATATCAAACCCTTCGGTATCTGGAGGGACCATACATCAAGTAGACAAGTTCTGTTATCTGAGTATTTGCATTTCACCCTGAGGTCAGATATCGGATAGAGTGTCCTCGCGTATACAGAAGGGCCGTTTGTCACTTTGCCCCCTGAGTCATCCGCGCCATCGACATGACATCCGTTTATTTATCAAAGATCGAGTGTACGCTGCGGCAATCAAATCAGTTATTCAATAGGATTCAGAAATATGACCACTGCGGATGGAGGATTGTCAACATTCGAAAGCCGATATTTTCACAGCATTGCTCGAATGTGGTGGGAACACTGTATCACCAATGCTGAAGTTAGGCGTAGAGTATTAGGCACCTGAACCAAATCATTAGATAAGACGCTAAGGCTCATCAGGCTAAGTCCGGCTGGGACATGTGTTGCGCATGTCCCTGGATAGGAGTCCTCGGTACACGGTGTTCGATGAGGGGGTAATGGTTGGAGGGTGAATAAAGATGGCCAGTCCATGACGTGGAAGAAAGGTATGCAAAGCCTAACGAGCGGTCTTGGTCATGGAGTGCGTATTAAGTTTCTTGGGTGGGGTCCAAAAGATCCCCCACTCAGTGATTAGGTACATCGGAAGATATGACTTGGTGTCGCAATCAGTGGCGCTCCTGTGTTCAGAAAATTTATCGACTTGGTGCTACTGTTTGTATTTCTCTTGCTCTTTTCATGCTTTTGTTTTTTTTTCTTATTTCCGATCGTGGTTGCCACCATGACCACTACATCTAACGCATGCTTGTTTGACCTGAACTGAACTGAACTGTGCCTGGATTAAATCGCCCGTTTTGTCTTTCCCGTAGACCAAAAAACAGTAGATGAAGGCAGTCACACGCCGTGTTTTTGCTACTTTTCTGCAGTTGTTATAAGTTATAAGTTGTGTTTCCTGCTCTCCTGGTTTTCCCGAGCAAACGGCCGTGGTTATTATTATTTTTTCCCTGTGTTCAGTAAGGGTCTGTAATAAATGAAGTTGGTGGTTAACACAAACCTTTTACTTCCCGGTTGTTTAATCACCTAGATAGAATTTACTTAATTTTTTTCCCCAGTCGTACCCAGCGGTTGTACACGTTTGTTCGGTTACTTTGATTCACAATGGATATCATCCCATGGAATCAATACATTGTTTGCTAGTTAGTATAATTCCTCGCTTGGTGTTCTTTCGCGATTCCCAGTTTATTTCTCTATAGATGGTTTGAAGAAAAGAAGTTGTGATCAAAAGGACCATAGGGGTCGATTTACACTTTTAACCCATACCTTGCCTCTTACGGTGGAGGTCGTCGGGAAATTTTGAGTGGGAAGTCCATCGAAAAGACCAGGGGAAAAGACCTTTCTCTTGTCAAATGTTTGTTCGAGTTTTATTAACTGTATCGTTGTCAATCTGTATACAAGTGATTGGTGAATAAGTAGCGTTTCCTTTTCATTGAAGTACCACTGAACTCTTCATTGTATGCGTCAAAGTATAAGGCTGACGTGTGTCTCTGACTATTTGGTTTTGAAAAACAAAACACTGTAAACTCGTTTTATTCTTAACAATAACAAATTATCAATTGCTGACGCACTCCTCAGCGTCCTCACTACAGACATCATACGTTCTGAACACAAATTTTCCTCCGTATACTCCGTTTATACATTTGTATTGTTTCCGACTGATTTCCTCCAGTTCTTTAATCCCCGATGGTTGGGGCTCACATATCTTGTCATGCATTCGATGTTCGACACTAGCTGATCCATTGCGCTCGCCGCTCAGTCGAGGGTGACTCATTGCGCTGACGACCCGTACGCATACACAGAAACACATGCACACAACAGTTGGAACCGCCAGTGCGCATAGTCTTTTCTGTCTTAGCTAATTTTTCCACCGATCTCTTGTGTTGCTCCACCTGTGCCCCGAACATCATCGGTCCGTATGCGTATTGATTCAGTGCTTGCGTGAGTGAGCCGAGCGCTAGGTAGAGAGGCTGGTAAATAGTGATGCTGTCTGCACCCATTTATCCTCCCCCCACCATTAATTCCCGTACTTGCATTGGCGCTGTTGATCATACTCTTTTTGGTCAACTTGCACTGGTTTTTCACTAACCGAATGGGTTTTGACGAGTTGCGATGACTACCACAATCGTAGTGATTTGATCCGCCCGCGTCCCTTTCGCGCTCAGTCACACGGCATACATACAATCTACTTCACTCCTCGAGATCTGGTACTCACATGACGGGCTCTCTGATTGACTTGGTTTTGAATCCTCGATGCACCACACTATCTCTTCTGTGCACTCAGTCTTATCAGTTAGAGTTTTCCTTTTTGTCTTCTCTTCGCTTTAATCTGGACGAAATATTCTGACTTCATTCGTACACAAGGTTGGTTGGCAGATAGAAACAGGACTATTGGGGCTTTTTCAGTCGCGGAAAACGACAGAAAAATAGCTTGTCTGTTTTTTTCTACCGAAGTTGCTGCAAAATTGTGTGTGTTCATAAACCAAATCAAGTGAATGTTTTATGCATTCCGATTGGTAGGGGAGGGGAGAGGATGGCTTGTTGATTTAGATTCATCTAGAGAGACCATTACCCTGTTTTAGATTCAGTTTTCATCTACTATCTCGCAGTTCAAGTGTTGAAACCCTGAGCGCTACTCTTTAGGCGTCATACAAACATATATGCTGCCGAATATCATGGTGCCACGCGTCCGTTTCCTTTTGTCATCCGAAAGCTGCGTAACAAATCAAATTTCCTGTTTCTTAGTTCCAAAGTGGCACATTTAACCATCATATTTGCTTTTTTTCTCTTCAGTTTGTGTGCATTTGGGCTTGTTTCGTTTCCATGCCCACGCAATCCCAGCAAACGTTGAATGTTTTCTAACCAGCTTCTAACTATGATTTCTATGTGAATAGTTTCGTCAAAGTAATTGTTCGACTACAATTCATGGTCACTATCCGTGCTGATATCCTGGTAATCCTGACGGTTATAATAATGGTATTTTTCCACGTATTTTGTAATTCTACATATTTTTTGGGCTTCATGTATGTTTGATGTCGCTTTTAGGCTCGTACCCGTATTATTTAAGATTGGTCTTTCCTCAATGACATCTACATCTTGTTGTACTCAGTGTATTACTTTCTTTTCTCTAAAATCTATTCGCCTTCCCATTTATTCCCTCATAATCTCCAGGTGATATGTTCTTGGCCTCTCGATTAGATCGGGAATCGATTGATCGATACCAGTTGTTAGTTCGTGCAACTGATGGAGGTCATCTATTCGATCATCTGTTACTCGAATTGTACGTCACGGATGACAATGACAACTGGCCAGTTATGATACAGACAAATTATGAGGTAATCAGTTGCTACCGTTACCCGTTTTTCTCACATCTTACCGCGAAGAGCCCAGCGTCTCATTTACCGTGGTAGTAATGCTTACCGCCTCTTGCCCTCGTTTGGTATAGTTCATTCGCCCACTCGTTCAAAAGCGTCTGGTGACGAGAGAATAATGTCTGGTTGCCCGTGGTGACCAGTCATCGATTCCTCCATTACTGCCTGAGTTGGTGTGTGGACAAGGCTGTTCACTCGAGGTCTGTCTGCCGTCATCTGAGCTAATGTCATAAGGAAATCCCATGTTGCCGTTGTGGTTGAGTTCATTGTGACTGTCATGTATACAAATGACTCGTGGAGGAGAATAGAATGTATCAGCACTTTTTCCAGTTTTGTATTCTTTTGTCAGCCATGGGTTCTCATCATGAGTAATTGTTGTGAGGTTGATAATTGCGCGGTTCTTTCGTGAGCCATGTCGGTCGCGGACGTTTGTCAAACCCCTGAAGTATGATTTAGTTTGCTCGGTTTAGTTTCTTGTAATCGGCATCGCTAATAACCCCACTTTTCACTTTACATTACATTTCATTTCATGAGCAAACCCAATCGAAAATGATGTAGACTGAAACACGAAAGTTATGGAGAACAGGAGACATACGTGGTCAAATGAATTCACTCCATTAAGTACATGAGGAAATTGTTTATATATATATATATATATATATATATATATATATATATATAATTTATACCCGTACAAAATTCGAAGTCCCCATTCTTTTGTGATCTCTACTTGACCGGGCAAGCGATGATCTACAGTTCTCCCCATCCCCCCACACACAGTGATGTATTTGGCTGGCGTAAGAGATCTGTTATGATGTGGTAATTCGTTAGAGGAGAAATGTTCACTATTCTTTTTGATGATTGGCCTTTGGTGCGTGTCTTGTATCATGCGTTCCCGCAGCTGGCCGGTTAGGTTCGAGTGGCATGAATCGCAGACTGTTACAGACTGAACCACGGTCTCGAACCCAACCAGTACTGGCTAATGTTTATGGTATAAAATCCCCAGATAACCACCACGCTGCAGTGTGCAGGGCCAGTGATCTTCCGCAGACGCGGGAAGGGTGGACGTGTTCGATCTGAAACCACAGAATGAGAAAACTTCATGAACCCATTACAGTAGGTGTCTCATCGAGTTTCCACACTTACATTATTCAAACACCAATTTGGTGGCCTATAGCCTGACCCCCACGCTCCTTTTTGGTTCTCCATCCCAACTTTCTCAATTCAATTCAGTTCAGTTCAGTTTATTCAGCCATAAAAACCTGACCCTTCTGTGAGCTCGCTCTGGTCGCTACTTCGCAGCATTGTTGAGTTGAGGACGGAATAAATAAATGCATAAACTCAAAAAGGGCCGAAAACGAAGTAATCAGCGGAAATCCTGAAATCTGCGAAAGAGCCCGAATGCAACCACGTCACTAACCGTGACACCTAGTTATGTCGCTCTAGGTCATGTTTGATGGTCCTGTTCTGTAATGCAGCTAGTAGACTTGGCCGCATAGGGTGTGTTAGGCTTTCTGAATGAGGTGCCGGATATCCTCTCCCCTACTCAGTTGCACTGTTGTATGGCTGTTTCGCGATCAGTAGCGCTGTTGTATTCAAAAACTTCCTTTATGGATTTGATACTGTTATTTGTAGTTCTTCTCTTACTCTTGTTTTTCCAATTTTCGATTGAGGTTCCTGCTGAGAGATGGCAGCCAAGGCCACCGCACACAGTACATGGTTAATGGTTTTTTGGGCTGAACTGAACTGATATTTGCTGTCCACCTTGCGCACGATAATGCGAGATGCAGTTGCCATGGTCGAGTGGTTTGCGATACTAATAAATAAAAAAGGCACAACATCTGGGATCGCAATTCCGATGGTCAATTATTGCGGTGTTTGTGTGCATCGTTGATTTCGTATAGATTCCATTTGGTTATTCAAATAATATGTATATATACAACATCTTTGAATAGAATTTTTCACTGAATGAGCTAATTTGTATCGTATTTTTACAGTCACGGCGATATCCTATTTTTTTGTTATTTGCTCACTGGATGATGTTGGTTTTTATTTCACGCCACGATTTCCCGACTTTTTCATACTTTATCTGTCTCATTACGAATCCATCAGAAACTTAAACGCTTGATTTGACATTTAGCGCTATTAGAAATTCTTCAAGTTACCTTATCGGTTTAGAAATTTGAATAACCACGTGTCTTACACTGTAGTCATCAGTTGTTTCCTCACTACCCGGGCCGTTCATTTATGTTTGCTTTTTTGTTTACTTGTCTATCTGTCTCAGATCACACTGTTTCCTAACGAGTACGACGCCAAAATCACATCGAACGGATTCCCTGTGCGAACAGATCTGTTCGTGAAAGCCACGGATGGAGATCTACACGAGAACACTCATCTGGTGTATCGCATCTTTAGTCAGCCGAATCACGCGAGTCCTTCAGAACAACAACAAAAAGAACCAGTTCACGCTCAAACATTCGCCATCGATCCGAAATCTGGACAAGTGATGGTACAGAATCCGGTCAGTCGACCCGATTTGGACGAGTGGCAGTTGTTTGTTGAGGCCTGTGACGCACTGACTACGACCCCTGTGACTTCAGCACACTGTTCAAATCCAGCCAAAGTACACATTCGTTTGGCTGCGCGCGAACCACCAAGCCGACCGAGAATTCATTGCACCGCCAGTCCCGTTTTGGAGGTCAGTTTAAACTTTATTGTCTGCATTATTTTTTCGCGTGCCAATTTGCTGTTCAGTCATGTTGTGTCACGCAGTTTTTTCCAGTCTTGTTTCTATGACGTGTTGATTGACCCCAGTTCTCATGAGTCTAACTGTTGTTCCTATCTGTTCGAGTTTATCGTTTACGTAACCCTTCTTCCCGGTTTTGGAATGATCCATGTCATAGTTGCCTGGATTACATGACGAGGCACAAACGTTTGAACGTGATTATTATTTTCCCCTAGCCTGCCTTGCCCGTGTGAACGGCTGGACTTGGCCATCTCTCTCTGATCTCACTATCATAACCACGTTATTCCGTTTGTTCTTCACTTGTGCTTGTGTGTATGTGTTCCTTCGAATCATTAATTCTTTTCTGAACGTTGATTGGCCAAAATGCCTCGATAAATAAGAACCTACTTTGCAAGCTACTTGACCCGTTCTTGCACTGCTGTCTCGAACGTTTCCTGTTTATTGCTGCTAGGGCGTCTTGAAGTCTTTCTTGACTGTATTGACTCGATGGTCGGTTTGTCCATAATTTGGGGCATGTTATTGTTTTTGTTTGACAATCTGTCCTCTAGTACACTCAGTAAAACAATCCGATGTTCTCTGTCTTAGGAATTGGGGTTCGTTTATCTGCGAGTCACTCAATTACGAGGTGCATATCCTGTACGGCACACTGTTGTGCATGCCTGAGTACGAGGTTGATGAGTGAAGTGTTACTGGGCCTTTTTCTTTGGATGTGCGCTTGTACAGTTTGTTGTACGGTGGTTACTGATATTTGGAATCTTCCAGAGGTTCGGTTTGATGATAGCATCCTTATGGCTGTTAGATCAAGATACAAATCAACCCCAAACTACTCGTAGAATCTGAATCCGTGTACTCAAGGAGCGCTGTCACGACGAGACTGCACCTTGACGTGGTGTGATGGCCTGCGCGCCTCTATGACCCAAAGAACTATACAGGATGGCTTCTTTTAGTTGGAGATGCAATCACACCTGATAGGTCAATGGGTAGGGCCAGACAAAGTCCAGTCTCCTGGTCCTTCAGGTTGGGGGTCGATTTGAGCTGGCAACTCAGTCGGCAAAACCAGTGGAAGAATAATTGATCCAAGCAAATGGGCTTCCACTAAGCCATCCCGCTGCCTTGCGGACAGGTTTTTGTTAGGACCAAAGGCTTTGGATGAGAACCCTAATCGTTCTCTTGCTTTGTGGCTGGACACCCTAGCAGTAACCGTTCAACGTCTCCCATGAACTGCACGAATAGAAAGAATTCCATACTGCATCGGTCGTCGAGCAGGATAATCAGGACCGCGCTGCCCATTGCATAGGGCAGGGCGGGTAGTGATAAATGGGTTACTGCTCAGAGTTCCCTCTCTTTATTCAACCTTTGTCTTCTGTCCTCAGTCACATCTCTTTGCCCCATCTATACACCCATAATGCTCCCACTGACAACGGCCGATACTCACAACGGTTCATTGTGAAATAGCGTCGTGAGTAATCCTCTGTCTGGTAACTCACATTTTCTCAAGCCTTGTCAGCCTCTGAATCTCGGCTTCCTCAACGTGCGTACACTCACGCAGGCTGTTCAGCAGATGTGCCTAGCCTTTACAATGAACTCTCTGAAGATTGATATCTGCTGCGTAAGTGAAACGCGTATACAGTATTCGAGCAGTGTAATTCAACTAACTGCTCCTGGTTTCTCATCGAGGTATTTTCTGCGCACTTTACGAGACGAAAGAGTCAGGGCTGCGGGTCAACGTGGTGTAGGAATAATCTTGACTGACAAGGCTAAGTCTGCTCTCTTAGACTGGATCCCTGTTAACAGTCGTTTATGTGCTGTACAACTCCAGGGGTCAGTTGGCGTTCGAAAAGATAGTTGTGTTAAGCGCAATTGATTTGTGATCTCGGCGTACGCCCCAACAGACTGCAGCTCTGACTTGCAGAAAGATGAGTTCTATGATGCCCTCGCCACTCTCGTTCGCAGCAGTAAAGGTTCTGACATTTTAGTGCTAGCTGATGACTTCAATGCACAAGTTAGCAAACTTAGTGCATCAGAAGCTTGTTTAGGTGAGCGTTGTACTTTACCCGCCGAGTTTACAGATAACGGGAGTAGGCTTTTCCAGTTTTGTGCGGACAATTGATTGTTCTTGTCTAACACCAATTTCCGACACAGCTCGCGTTGCACAGCGACATGGCGCTCTAACTCTACAGATACTCTGAGTCAGGTTGATCATATCGTCGTAAGCTACCGGTGGCGCAGTTCTGTTCAGAACGGTAGATCCTGCTGGTCCACGTACGTAGAGTCGGCCCATACATTAGTTTTAATGCGATTATCTCTCCAGCTCCATGGTCATCGTCGCCAACTGCAAACCCGATTAGCCGTGCAACGTATGTGTGATCCAAAAGTTTGCACCCGTTTTGAACAGAAGTTAGCACATGAGCTAAGATGTATGACGAACAGTAATGTAGATGAGCATTGAGCTCATATCCAGCAGGCGATGCACATTGCAGCAGGTTTTGCCTGTGGTCGTGGATTCGATGTCCATCAAAGACGCTGGATTTCGCAGGAGTCATTGAGTATAATGGAGCAAAAGCGTCAGCTCCCGTACTGTATGGAAATGATTAAGATACGAAGATATCTACAGGAACAAGTTACGAAAAGCCTTAAGAATGATCGTGAAAATTGGTGGGTCAAGATAGCCGAAGAAATGGATGCAATAGCTGCTTCAGGTAACAGTCAAAGACTGTTCAAACTTATTCGTGACACCGGTGGACGGCGCACCCAGGTCAGTGAAACGATTTACGATATAAATGGAGAACCCATCCATGGCAAAGAGCAAGGCTCGACCGTTAAGCCGAATACTTCAAGGACCATTTTAGCTGGCTGCTCGGTAATGTGGTTACTCCTGTGTCAACAACTGCGACTCCTTGGGTGGTATCACTTGAGCCCTCATCGGAAGTGGAAGTAGAGTCATGCATTCGATTACTAAAACGAGGGAAAGCGGCCGGTCCTGACGAAATTCCCCAGTTCTTTTCAAACTGGGTGGAAATGCTTTGATAAAATCACTTAGGACCTTGCTCCGTGACATTTGGAACGATGAGCTTATTCCGTTGATATGGAGCGAGTCGTTGATTGTTCCCATCTTCAAGAAGGGAATACACAATGACTGTAGTAACCATCGTGGGATTAGTTTAATTCCGATAGTCACCAAAGTATTAGCCTCGATTCTGCTGCACCGTGTTACACTCGCTCGCGAGACGAATGCTCGCGAACAGCAAGCTGGATTCCGCCCAGGTCGAGGATGCATCGACCAGATTTTTACTCTTCGCCGACTTCTTGAAACGCGTCACACACACCGTCGACGGACAATAATGGTTTTCTTAGACTTGAAAGACGCCTTCGATTCAGTTGATCGAACAGAGCTTTTCAGTGCTCTTCATCTAAAAGGTATGCCTCAGAAGTTCGTGAACCTACTGAGATCATTGTATTCTCATACTTCTGGCCGCGTTAGAGTTTACGGTGAACTATCCAGTCGGTTCGAAACGACCAATGGTGTTCCACAAGGGTGTTCCATGTCTCTGTTCCTGTTCAACTTCATCATGGACAAAATAATGGAGAGGGCGTTGCAAAATCTTCAAGATATAGGTGTGGATGTAGGAAACAGTGGAAAAGTATGTGACCTAGATTACGCGGACGATGTTGTTTTCTTCTTCGAATTCACGGAACGTACTCAGCATGCACTGGATAGACTCACAAGCACTGTAGCTCCATTCGGCATATGCTTTGCACCTTCAAAGTGTAAAGTGATGTTACAAGACTGGACGTCGACGATTCCGAGCTTGATGCTCGATGGGGAGGTGCTGTCAGTTGTCGACCACTTCACCTACCTCGGAAGCAGCGTGACGACGGATGGGAGCACTGTAGTAGAGGTGAGTACGCGGATATCCAAGGTTCGAGCGACGTACGCCAGACTGAAGCACTTGTGGCGCCGACGTGATGTTCCACTGAAGTTGAGATGTCGTGTATACTGTGCTGCAGTGCTTTCAGTTTTGTTGTATGGTTGCGAGACTCAGGGTCTGTTTGTGGAAGATATTCGTCGTCTTGAGGTTTTCGACCACAGATGTTTACGTAATATCGCTAGGATTGGGTGGAATATCCGAGTGAGCAATGATGAGGTCAGAAAGCGAGCATTGGGTACTAATTCAGAGAACGTTCTGTCACAGCGTATCCAGCTTAGTAGACTTCGTTGGTTGAGGCCTGTGTTACGTATGGCAAACACACGTCTACCATACCGTATCCTATTCTCCCTTTCTCCTAGGGAGTGGAAAAAATCGCGTAGAGGTCAACAGATGACTTAGCAACGTGAAATAAGAAAATGTACAGTAAACTTAGGGAAAATGGGTGCTCCACGTCCTCGTGGTTGGGGTCCAAAAGATCCGTCTACCAGTTGGCTGGAGACACTGAAGGATATGGTAGTGAACCGTGAACAGTGGTGATTGTGTCGTCACTTTCTATTGAATCAGAATGACTGACCGATGTGCGTTTGTACAGTTAGACTGTGTATTCTGTGTGTTGGGTACTAGGGCATTCTTTCCTTTTCACACCCATGTAGGTCCACTCCTTGTCCATCTTGTATATTCATACTTTCTGATTCATCGTGCAAGATGGCGAGAAAGGCAGTGGTCAGTGGGTCTTGTCATGCTGTTTAACGCTGTACGACGATGATGATGATGCTGTGCCGTTGGAATTTAAGTATCTAGCTGTCATCCACTTGGTTGGGTTCGGTCTGTCTGTCCAGTGTTTTGGTGGTAGTGTAACCGCCATTTGAAGTGATTATATGGAATCGCAGATGCAGAGCAACAGCACATCTTTACAGGACTATATTTGTGATTCGACAGCACTCTTTCGCAATTTAGTCTCTAGGGTATGTTATTTATCCTCGAACTTAGTTGGACGGCATTGTCAAAAGAAGCAACTTTTCACTCGGAGCGGTCCGGTCATCGGGGAAATAACTTACTGTTTTGGGAATGGGGGGGAAATCGCTTCTTCTCTCACACGCCGTCTAATATTATCAGAAACCGTCTCTTGTTATTCCCTCCGTAGATGATGTGTTTGTGTTTTGTGATTAGTTGTGTCGTTTAATTATTCGTCTTTTTCTTCCCCGTTCGACGAGTGACTCAGCTTATTTCCTTTTTGAGTCACTCTCTCAACTTCATCATTTGTTGTTATTGTTGTTGTTGATGTTACCCAGTCTTCCCTTTGTTTTGATTCTTTAGTTTCGATTGTTTAAATTCCACTTTCATTTATCCTTCGGTCAATTGGTCGTTCTATCCACTCATCCATCTAATCTTTGTTGCTAAATTAATTACCGACTTTATCCACTCACTCACTCATCGGAACGCGTACACGAAGGAGCTTCGAATTCCAGCGGTAGCTCACGAGGTATGCACGTCATCGTCATCTGCGTAATAGAGTTTATCCGGCCTTAGAACACGTATCATCCAACCACACTTGGTTTCTGTTGTCAGAACACTAGTCCCACTCTCCTTCTCGTTGTCCTAACTGCTTATCCCAATTCTGCCGGATGCTGCTGCTCTTTCGTAACTTTGTATGTTTGGCCGGTGGACCACATGGTTATGATAGACTGCCACCGCATCGATTGGTTCTCTCTCTCTCGTGGGCACATAGATGACGGGCAAACATTACCATTAATTTCACTAAATTACTTTCACCCACCATGATCCCGCCTGCCCGATCCCTGTCTTCCTATTCACATTCATTTTGAGAGCTCTTTTGGTCTTCGAAGGAAACTAACTGACTTTTTGATAGCCGGCCAGAGAAACTGACTGGCTGACTCATTCTGTGTGCCAGTTTGTTGTGATCATCGTATTGATAGGTTTCTCTGATACATCGTTCAATGCCAGTTGTAAGTGCACGGATATTCTGAACTTTCGGAAATTGTCTGTGCTCTCGGTCGGTCCGTCGATACCTGCCACTCGGCAGTGCGGTCGCTCTTTTTCCTCTTGTCTTTCAATAAACGTACGGTACCCCTTGCTTTCTGTCTCGGTAATCCGTCCTCCCTTTTCACTTCCCATTCCATGACATGTTTCTGTCTACGTCCGCGATTGTGAGGCTGACCAAACGTGCTACTCCATTTTTGATCTTGGATCGGCTAGTTCAACTTGTGCGAAAATTTCCCCTAGACCTTCTGATTACACCTCGGATTGCTTGTCTGAAGCTTGCAGAGAATTGTGATTTGCTCTTAGGGTCAACTGATGCGATCGTTTTCACTCACTCATTTTCATTTCTTTGTTCTCAGTATCACGAGCCCAAAGAAGATACTGGACTATTTATTTACAGTCACCTTTTTACATTGAGATTTCTTTCTGCTGCGTTTTGAGTACACATTTGTAGGTAATTTACCCTTTTAATTGTTTCGTCTTACCACCAGGCTCATGTTTGCTAGCCTTCTCTGCAATGCTGAAAATTTGCTGTCGCATTCGAAATTTACATTTCTCCACTCTGCTTTCCCTGGTTTTCTCGTTTGTAGGACAATCAGCTTTCTGACCGTGAAGTGGCTTTATGTCAAGTTCAGCCCACCAATTTGACTGGAGAATGGATGCTTACCAGCGTGACCGTATCACGGACCGGACAACACGCGTCGGTGTTTCGTGTGGATCGTCATTCGGGTCGGGTGTTCAACATAAGACCTTTGGACTATGAATTCGCTTCGGCTTATCTTCTTCGTGTCCAATTCCGACTGTCCAATTTCAAACCTGTCGTTCTGGCCCACACGGAATTTACCATTCAGTTAGTCGATGTGAACGACTGCACACCACTTTTGGACTCTCCGATGTGAGTCAATGATTGAATGACGATATATATATATATATATATATATATATATATATATATATATATATATATATATATATATATATATATATTATATCGTCGTGTTTCGCCTCTGGTGATTGATGCTCTCGACAACCTTTGACCTTTGGCGCACGCACATATTATACTGTTATATCTGTGTCAGTAATTAGTCGTCCTTTCGCGAAGGGTTTCTTCTGCTGAGTGTGTTTTGTGTACGTGACTGATGTATCAGCCAATAGTTTTGACCAATGCCAGACCAATTCTGGTCCCACTGGGCATCGTGCTATTTAAATGAGAGATACATGGCGGAAAATGTCTAGCATTCGTCTCGTAGTCTCGACTACTTCCATTCACTGCGTTCAATTGTTTGTGACACGTACGAATCATCAGTCAAGTTTACTGACTGACAACTAAATTATCTCCTGGATTGTGCTTTTTTAGACTCACTTTTTTCAACTTTTAGGACCAATGTCGCCTGATGTTTACACTATAGTACATCTTTTTTCCAGTTCAAGTTAAAGATTGATACATTCCCTTTTACTGTGTGATAACCTTAGCTCGATAAACACCACCGAATGCCTTACGATCTACTAGACCGTCTTTCCGAAATCTCATCCCATCCGAATCGAGCAACCTACTGCACGAATTCACATCTCTGCTGATACTCTTCATCGGCAAATAGTGTCACAGTTCTGATTTCAAGGCACACGTGTTTGCGACCGTTGTCATTGTCATTTTCTTCTACTGTAGTTACATACAGTTGGCTCGGTTTCTCCTTCACTCACTCTCACTCGCTCCCCCACTCACTCACTCACTCCCTCTTACACACCCGTTGCTGGCTGCCCACAAGAACTGTTTTTGTGGTCATTTGAATAATCAATGATCGTGTGCGCATTGGGTTAGTATTCCTGAAGATGAAGTCCCGTTTAGAAATCCGTGTTCAGTACTTTGAAGTATTATACCTGTACGGTGATATATACAACGGTTCAATGAGTATTATGCTACGGAGAAAACAGTCGTAGTCACTACTATGAGGTATTCTACACGTGCTATAGTGGTCAAAATACCGAAGAAAATAAAGGTTACAGAGAATAAGAAAAACATTCACAAAACCGATAGTTTAATAGGTAAAGAGGACTTTTGAGGTGGTAAAGTATTTCTACAAAACTGGTGGTGTTTTCATCGTTCTGTTCGCGAACAGGAAGAAGATCAGCGAATTTTCGTTCGTGGGAAGGTCTTCAATACCTGTGAACAAAGTGGGCAAAGTAAATATACACTAATTGTGTGAAACAGACTATATTCAACAATTTGCTAGAAAATATTTGCACCGGTGTCGGGGTACTCTAAGATTACGACTGAATAGTGTAAGGTCGGGCGCTTTAGCAACTGCTCAATCTAAATAAGTTAAAGTAGTTAGTATGAAGCATTGGGCTGACATGTCACCTACGAATGATCTGGTTCAGTTGGTAGGAAGAACACGATCTACTGTCCAGAATGGAAGACAAGATTGGGACCAGCAAAACAAAAGAATGGCCCAATCTGCGGCTGTCATTTGGTTGAACTGACCACAGCTGAATCAACCAATGGGGGTGCGATCAGTCAAAGCAGCCAGATACACACTTTAGAATCGTCAGTCGACCAGTGAGCTTTTATGCAAGTTTTTGAAAATGATCGTAATTCATCCTATATAAAGGATACGTTTTGTATCGATAAACCTGGATGATTGGAAGCCAGAAAAGTCTTTTCGCTAGAGCTAGTGTGTTTATTGATAGACCTCCTCGGCGCACGTTGTTCTCCTAGGCAAGTATTGGCTGACGGATAGGTCGAGCTGGCCAGTCCACAAAATAGTGTGAAGACTTTGCTAGGCTTCAGAGTTGGAGTACACGAAATTCGCCTATCAGATACTTGGAGACATTATGCGATTTGGCTAGATGCTGCAGTCAGTGACCTAGTTGCACTCGAACTCTTTTTTTCGTCTGTGCTTCCCATTTACAATTTTATCTTTTCTGTTCACTCCTGATACTTCTATTCGTTTTGCTGTCCACTAGACGAGGCTGCGATATATCCACCGAAACCAGCACACTGAGCTGGACTGAACTTGATTTCTTATGGATGCAGTAGAATGAGCATACTACTTGATAACCACAAGGGTCCATTGCCCTGTCGGAGTTGACTGACGTACATAACTGGTCACATAAGGTCCCACAGGTTTCATATGAGCCGGTAGACAACGTAGCTGTTTGATGCGTGAATACGAATCGGGCTATTGTGTGCCGTAGTTCGAGTCATTCCCGCTGTGTATTATGCCATGCGGATTTACATCGACACGGTAATAGATTGTGGGTCAATGCTAGAGGAAAGTTTGACCTAATAATTAGTTTACGACTCTAGAGGCCATGCAATTCCGTTTGACCCACTCTGCGCCGTTATCTATGGACGAAATGCACTAATGATGTCATTCTATCCCTTATGCTGCCTACCATCTACCTTCATTTTGATACACACTCGTTTTTGTCTGTACTCGATCTTTTCTGATTGAATGGACCCTGGTTTCATGAATCATCGTCACCATGGTTGCCATGATCACCATTAATCGTGGTGTCGTCCATGAACGACCTAACGAATGCGCAGTCGCATTTTACATCTGAAGTGTTGAACAGCACGTGATGATAGATCCTGTGAAATCGAAGTCGCTGTATGATGTAAATAGGATTAGTTTGTGTTTTCGACAGGTACGCTGTGTGTGCGCCACAAACGACTTTGCAAATAATCTGATATGCACTCACAAAATGCATTCATATGGCAAAAGGTACATTATTTCGCTGAGACGTCGGGTGCTATCTTTGTCTACAGACTTGGTTTATCGATGATGAATTTGAATTAGGTTTTTTCTGCCATTTATTTATTATGTTTGGTCCTTTCTGTGTCATTCTACTCCTCTGTGGTATCCACTACCTTCATGGTCGTTGTACGTCTAACTTAATAGAATTATTGGACAGTTTATTTACTTTTTCGGCTATTTTGTTTTGTTTTGAGCATTGGTATTATTTTGAGCTCATGTTGGTGGTCTTATCAAGCTTCTGATCACTCAGCCAGGGGCCTAGGTCGCAAACGTTTCAGCACCGGCCGAAACGACACCTGTGCACTGATGGTGTCATTTCGGCTGGTGATGAAACATTTGCCACCCAGTCATCAAGTTTAGCGATAGGGACCCTATGCAAATTTCTTTTATTGTTTGGCTTATGTTATAAATCCATGATGTTTTCCGAACTCTGTCGGTTTCACGTTATTCGACGATGGGAGCGGTCATTAACTGATTGCTGTCATGCCATATATCAAACAATTAGTATCCGTTCTCAGGTACACGGTTAGCAGTGAGAGTGAAAACGCCATCGGAAACAAACTTTCTGCTCACCCCATTCCGGTGTGAGTGACGAGTTGTGATATTGGTGTACTTGCCGGTTGCGGATTCAAATAATGCATCCGACGAAATTGTGAATGTCATTCTGTTGACCGGCGGCTTTATGAGTGGGTCTGTGTCTTCCCGTATTATTCATCTAATAGGAGACTGGTATCTTGTACGCGTTCATTTGTGTAGTTTATGATACTGTGCACTTGGTGTTACTCACACCTCAGTCGATGCGTCCGAAATAGAGAATCATGGATTGCCATGTTTCACAAGGGAGGGTATGTCTCACTTATTCGCAGCTCTTCCCCTCACCGAGGCTTCCTAATGTACCGAGATCAGAACAAAATTATCTGTTAATTCATTTTTTTTTCCGGCACTCTTCGCTCCTTCAGTGAAAGTCACTAGATTTTCCCCCGGGTAACTTCACAGTATCTCGATTGATATTTGAACTGACTTTTAGCCTCAGTGCGACTGAATGAGTCCATTCAATGTTTCCTTCTTTTTATAAATATCTTTCCCGCTATAAGTTATCGAATCGATGTTCCAGAAGATCTTCCTACTGGCACAAATCTGATTCGACTGCTGGCCGTTGATCGTGATGCGGACCGTACAGATCCTATCACATACTCTCTTTGGCCAATCGGGATATTGGACGCTGAACTGTACTCGGCACTGCGTGAAGCTGCTCGAGGACTCCATACATTTCCTGGTTCAGATTCAGAGATTGCATCCCTTCGTCAGAAGTTTTCTGTCAATTCTCGTGGGTGGATCACTCTGAAAGGTTCACTTGATTTTGAGTCACAATCAGAACACACCTTTAAGGCGAGTTAGAAGTTAGCTGCTGATTTAATTATACTACTTGACGTTCATAGTAGGTAGTTTTGGTATTCGAAATTTGCCTGGATCCAACTATTTTGCACTGTCCCACGATCGGATCCAAAATGTTCTTGAAATAGTTTCTAATACATAAAACTTATAATTAATACTTGAAATTTTGGTTTGTGATGTTCGCGATAAATTAGTTCCGTCACTGATCATCTCAAAATTCATTGGATGAGTTCATTCTCCTTGACACTCGTACCGTTGCCACGGTTGTTTTGCTTTATGTGCTATTCATGCGCACGCGGTCAACGCACACGATCGCCTCATCACTAGAGTCACCAATTCGAACTCACCACTACCATGTGCGACAAAAGATCATATCACAAACCGACAAGTCACATCACTGTTCAGACGTTTATCGGTTTTATTGATTGAATACTCATCTGTTTGCTTGGTAGTACAGATTTTGCGTTTGCTTACGCCCTTACGGTCGGTGTAGACTTAGTAGAATACAGATGTTATTATATTGCCAGTCCACTCACTTCTTAACACAACAAACACCAGCGGGCTTATGTTCATATCCAGGCTTGCCTGTTGTTCGTCACCGCTTCGCAGGATGCATTTGATGCTCCAGTATTTTCGTAGTTTATGGTTCAAACACCATATTTTGATAGCCTTGCTCAGTAGTGTAAGTGAGTTTTACCGTATTTTGAGAGCCTTGAGCTACAGTTTAACAACCTTGCAAGACTGGTAAACCACGACGCAAGGCTTTAAACTAGGGAAAATAATGTAGATCAGTAACATGTCATCATAGTTTTGGCAGTCACGTGCCGCATATCGCTCTTTTTACCCGAAAATCAATATACTCCAAAAAATACGAAGAGACTTGAATAATACCGTTCGACTTCTCAAGTTTCTTCATGAGTGCAGTTAATCGTATTGTGTGTATTATGGTTGTAATCTTTGCGGTTTACGGTGACTATGTTTCATCATGCAATATTACGATGTGCCCTACAGCAATAGCTTTGGCGCGAGCAGTATCCGCTGAGGTCAGATTCCAACTAGCTCATTGTGATTTTTTTTACTCAGATTGCCAGTCGTGTTGAATCTGTTCTACTGAATTTCTATTATCGACACTGTGTTGGCTGTTGACGAGCCGTCTGAAAGTTATTCACATTTTTGGATTTGCCACTGACTATTTAGGTAGTAGTTCAGCACTGTTTCGTGCAACTTGTCAAATGCAGTCTATTTTGATTTGGTGTATTCCCGACAGGTTGTCGCAATGGATGCCGTGGGTCATTGGAATGCCAGCTCGGTGATTGTATCCGTGATTGACATAAATGATAATGCACCACATTGGCCAACTCGCGAATCATCCAACGATCCACTAGAACACATTCTCTTCTCAGACATTTTGCGTCGGCAGATCTTATACGACGAAGTCAATGTTTCCGAGAATTTCATGCATGTAGACGGTGAATTGATCTATCAACTGACTGTTGTAGATCCCGATAGGGAAGTCGCTTCCTCTCCCATATTTTATATCGTCACGGATGCGGATCAAGATTCGACCTCTTCGCCCTCGCGGATGTCCACATCAAGCGCGTCTACCTTTTTCTCTGTTTCAAATTCTGGGGCGGTTCGTCTCCGACGTCCATTGGACCGTGAATTGGGTGGTTCATACACGTTAAAGTTCCGTGCGTCTGATGGTTTGTTCGTCACCAATGATGTGTTTGCCTTGAGAGTGAACGTGGTTGACGTGAATGACAATGCACCCATCTGTTCACAGGTGATTACCCTCTCCGACTATCCCACTCATAAAAATGTCAGATTTAACTTTTTTATCAATCTGCTGTAAGATTTTCTGCGTGTCTCATGAGTACTGAATTCCTTCGCGTGGTTGGCAGATTCGCATGGTATGTACCGCTTCAAATACAATGTCCTGCTTCGATCTCGAATAGCACGGCTAATAGTTTGTGTATGATGGATATCGTTTACCTTCTCCATTAGATAGCTTAGGTGTTGGTCATCAAACTTGTAACGTTGACTAAAATGAATGAAACGACTGATTTGAATATATAATTGCATAAAACAAACGAGATTTTTTTGATTGGATTAAGCTGAAATTATTAGCATGTTTTGATGTTTTTTTAATCCTATGCTGGAGCGCGATTGTAGTTAACGAGGTCTCGGCAACCATAATAGAGAAAATTTTGACTTCAGAACCGCATAAGGTCTCAGTCAGTCAGCTGCGATAAAAAGCCGCGTGAAGACAGCAGATCACTGTTTGCCACCACAGGCATTGAACACTAGAGGGGTCGCGAATGAATGAATATTTCTTCTGTGAGCTCGGGTTCATCCGGTTGGCGTTAGTTTGTTTGCGGAACTAGAAAATTTGATTGCAAGTGTTTCATCACCGAGGCAGATGACGTCATCGGTGCTAAGATGGTGTGATCACCCTAAAGTCAGGCTGCGCAGCTCAGCGAACACACCAATGCCAACGTCAGATATAATCATTTGAAAGGTTTTTGTTAAGTAAATTAATCAGTGTCACAGCTTGATAAGCAATATATCAGCTTCTTGTGGTGTGATAACAGATCATTATAATTTTCATAAATTAACATGAGTCAGTTTTTATTGCCTAGCCCGAACGTCATTTGTCCGTGTTTGAAAATACACCCAACGGGACAATCTTGGCTCGTCTTATCGCAACAGATGCGGATGCGGAACATATCAATTCCGTGATTACCTACATCCTGGTTTCCGGTGATCCTGCTCTATTCTCCGTGAATGAGACAACCGGTGAAATACGTTTAGGCGGCCCACTTGATTACGAGACGAAACCAGATCACACATTGACTGTTCAAGCCACTGATGTGGGTCAACTATCGTGCGCATTTATAGTCCAAATCAGCGTCCTCGATGTGAATGACAATCCACCCGTGTTTGATCCAGTCCATATCAACCCGATTCCCGAAGATGCCCCAATCGGCAGTCTTGTGGGCAAAGTGACCGCACGTGATCCTGACACAGGTTTGTCCTCATCCGTTTAATTTCTTTCATCAAATTTGATTGCCATTTATTCCCACGAACCCAGCGCGATTTGTCCTCTTAAAATAAGCAAAGAAGTAAGCAAATAGGGAAATCGAAACGTTGTTCTTTTGTTCGGTAAATATTCCAATTTCGACAGCTTTTGTACTTAGGGAACATTCATTTCTTTATTGTCAGTGAAGGTCAAACACCGTTTTTCAAATCTTTAACATCTATGCATGTATTTATGAATGCCGATTGGGGCGGTATTTATGGTAAACCATAGAAGGTTCCCTATTAGGTGCACTTTCGTTTTATGTCATCGTTATGCGCTGCGGCGATGAAAAGTGCACTCATTATCAAAACGACCCATTGCACTTTCGGGGAGAATTACCGATGCACGACCTTGAGACTTGTCATTGACAACTTGATAAGACTCTAATAAGCCAGATTTGGCAACGAACCGAATGGTAACAATTTTTTTCGCACCAGGAAGATTGAGCAGTGGTAAAGTTGGTTTCTGAATTCTACTTGTACCGATTAAAAGTTGAAACACGCAATTTTTTGAATAAAATTTTTTCCAGTTTTCCCCTCAGTCTCACTCTAATTTCGCGTCTGTTGAAAGTGCGTTGTGGCTGTTATTGTTAAGTACTCGCTAAACAGCAAAATTTTAAAACGAACGGGGTTTTCAGACAGTGTTCATAATCGTAATAACAAAGCGTGTTAATATAGATCTGCAAAACTACTAGCGAGTTGTTGAATGTTTATTTCAATTACAAAATAGCACGTTCCAGCATTCTACTTAAGTGACTGCGTGGGTGGAACCCGTTCACCATATAGGGTATGACTACAAGGCATTTTGCCCCGGCCATCACCGGTTACTTTGGTGGTAGACAGTAATCCCCACTGTCGCCTGGCTCGTTACCACACCGGACTTATAGGAACCTCGTGTGATTTTCGTCACTCTAAGTTTCAGGGTCTGGTCGCCGGTTATCTCTAATAGTGCAGTGGGCCTATGTAGCTATGGGGTATACCTCTCCCATCGCACTGATGCGCAAGAATGACTTATAAATGCTACCTATATAAACGACCGTTTTGGTACTTACTAATCGAGATAGTTCGATACCAGAGGAGTCTTTTCACCGAAATTAATGGGCGAATACGGAACAATGGGTCTATATATATATATATATATATATATATATATATATATATATATATATATATATATATATATATATATATATATAATGTTTGATTTCCGACCGTGTGTCAAACAAAACATGGTACAATCAGGGAGAAAGGGGTAAATAGAGACCGATTCCATGATTTGTTTGCGAACGCAATACTGTCAGCTTGCCTAGGCTAAAGCAGGTTATTTTCTTAGGGGTCCACAGCCGTAGTCTTTAGCTATCCAAAGCCTAACCCGTAAAGCAGTGGGACGAAACGTGGGGTCCGTAACTCGTTGGGGTCGGTGATTGACTGTTCAGCTCATACGCTTTTCGAATGAGACCAAACATACTGAATGTTTTTTACACCACATCGCCACTTACGCCGATGAGCGTAGTGTTGTACACCTCATAGGCCACCCGTGGTTGATTTGGAATCAGGGTCTAACCATCTCCTCTAAAATGACTGTCAGTCAGCCAACCCGATGGAGAACACCGGGCATTCGCTTTCGTCCTCTCACTTTGTTGGGAACACTGCGACTTTGGTGTTAGACAGTAATCCACGGTCGTCCGGATCGTTGCCACACCTGACCTATTGGGACCTTATGTGGTTCTTCGTCACTCCAAATCTCAAGGTCTGATTACCGGTTATCCTCAACAGTGCAGTGGGCGGTCGTGGTTACGGGGTAAATGCCCCTTTTACTGCATTCTTGCATAAGCATGTAATACTAAAAGGCAACAAGTAGAACTTCTTCGGCAGAGGCTGTGATAGATGCACGGTCCTTTGGGAGCATTTCGAGAGGCGTCTAGTACGAGTAGCCATCTCGGAGCCTGAGACACCCACCCCCGACCAAACTGAGGCTTTTATGGTAATGGGCACACTCGTACCACTTTACTCGCGCATAAGTGTGAGACAAAATTAACTGTACTTTATGTTGCATTTTCCATTGATTATCTAACTAATTCAGTATAGTACCCTTGAAGTTGCAGCTTTATTTTTGATAAGCTTTCTGTTCTCTTCCTTTCCTCCTCGATGAGAATTCATTTTCGTGAAAGTCTGTCATAGTTATCATCACGTGCCTGGCGAGTAAAATACAAGCATCAAAGTGAGTAAAGATCTTTCGTTTGTAGTTTTTTTTTCTTCTACTATTCTTCTAGACTTAATTTTTTGCTTTCCGACTGAGGTTCTGGCTGAGAAATGATGGTCAGAACGTAAGGCAATGCACGGATCATTGGTTGTTCAACTGAACTAACATCCAACATAATACGTTATGTAATAACCAGTCACGCATTACATTGAAATGGTTGAAGATTTTCATTGTGATATCAGAAAATCGCAACACACCAGTCCCTTCGTTTATGCTCCGGTCAGTCATTGTAATTATCCGGGACACTCTTCACCATCAGTTCCCGTTGATGTTGTTTTGGTTTGTGTTGTCAAATGTGTGCGTTTTTTCGTTGTCTTTGACACATTTCACTCACCTTCGCTCATGTGTGACGTGGACAGTCAGTTGTTACCATCCCTTAAGTTTTCCGTAAGCACACATTCCAACTACGTTTTAAGTTATTCTACTCAGTCTGCTTCTAGTTGACACCAGAGCGAGGGTGCATGAAGAACAAACGGTTGCGCTTGTATAAACTTGCTCATTCCCACCACTGTTTTTCCTCAAATGCGAACAGTTGTACAGCTTTTCGATTCTAATCAAAATGCAAATCAGTCGCCGTCAGAAACACACACACACACACACACACACACACACACACCATGAAATTGATGCTCTCAGTGTGAGTTGAATAATTCACTTCATTTACTTCCAACCGCTATCGTGTTTTTTCTCCTTTGGAATTCATCTCAGAGAGCAAATCATTGGGGATGGATTTCATCGTCCTCTTTCTCTCGCGCTCGGTAGCTTATTCATCAACATGTTTACCAAGCGCCAATTGGGAGAGGTTGGGAAAGAAATAAACTAATTAGAAAAACAACTAATTGTCTGGTTTGATCCGGAATGCTGGACGAATCATCTGAAGGGCTTGTGATAAATTTCATTCGGCAATACATGTGATAGATTATGCTCCATTGGGATGGCAGTGAACTGCAATGGAATATGTGAGGCTTTAATGTTATTATTATTATTATTATTATTATTATTATTATTATTATTCTCGCTTGAACATGGCTTTACAATGCTTTTCAACCGTCAAAAGACTGAAGATTTTACATACAAAAACGCGTAAATAGTTCAGACAAAACTTCGTCCTTTTCGGTTAATACACGATCAAGAAACGGAACTACAGAATTTCTGTGCGACAGTAATGTAGAAAGAAGAAATTGAAATTTGGAACCGGCCGATGGTTGGGTTTGACCAAGACATCGGTTTCAGTACAGTGCTTTTGTATGAACAATCAAGTGGAACGGGTGAACAAAATAGTTTGACTACTATCATTGAAGTACACATACTTACTTTGTTTTTTACGTTGCTATTCGGTTGGAAACTTCCTTCATGATCTGGTGTTATATGCGATTATTTTATTCATCGTAGTTTTCTTCATTTTTGGATGAGTCTTGGTTTCTTGCGCATTATCTATGTCCTTAGAATGACCGAGATCCGAAACGAGTGGTGGAAGATTTTCACTCAGGTGTTATTAATTTCCAACAATTTATAATGTGACCAGAAGAAAATGTGTTGCTCTTTTCAGTCCAGTTCTTTGCGGGTACGGGCGCTTCAGAATTGGTTGCATTAATACGCGTTGCTCATAACTTATGATATTAGGACAAATTCTTCAATGCTTTCCGGTTTAACAGTTGTTGACATCATGTGAAGAATCACCAAACTGTGCATTAGTCTGGCACGTTTGTAATTTGTGCTAAGTAGTTGCCCATAGACTGTGTTGTTGACTTTCTCCCTCTCGACTGAGCTCATTGGTCTATTAACAGTCGAGGAGACCACTCTCCGTTGAAGAACGTAACCCCTTTGAAAATCGTTCTCACTTACCGGATTAGTGCTTTGAGGCATTTGCTCTAAAACTAACCTAGCTCGCACGCCGACGTATCTTGTTTCTGGTCCTGGAATATAGGCACTGTCGAAACTCGTGCGAAAAGGTATTTTCTTCATTATAATCTCAAGGTTCGAATTTCTTTCCATATCATACTAAGCAAGAGTAAGAAATATAAATTCCCTCTTAACTGAATACTGTTCACATTTGATCTGTAATATTCTGTGCAAAGTTGGAATTGCGTGACCTCGGTTAATATAATTACTTGACTGATATTCGAGGGACAAAATTTAATGAACTGTCTTACATGAATCATTTGTAAAGTCGTGAAAGTAAAATTCATCGCATGTGGTTTTCACCACGAAAGCACAAATGCTGATCCTGTCAGAAGCAGTTCCGTTCGTGCAAATGTCGATTATATTTCCGCTCAGTAGAAAGAAATAAAAACAATACAACAAAACAATGCATTCGACCGGTGGTGGTCGAGTGATATGGAGTGTTTCATTATCGCCTCAGAGGTTGGGGGTTCGAATCCGCGCCGTCACTGGTTACTTTGGTGGTAGACAGTAATCCACGGTCGTCCGGATCGTTACCACACCTGACCTATTGGGACCTTATGTGGCCCTCCCCTCTAAGTCTCAAGGTCTGATTGCCGGTTATCATTAACAGTGCAGTGGGCTTTTGTGGCTATGGGGTCTATTCTCCTTCCACTGCACTCATGCGCAAGCATGTGATGAATAACGCGGAAATTTACGGTATCATCTGGTGGTTTATTAGCATTTTCACGGTCGATGATAGGCTTACCAGAAGAAAGCTGCTTTTTAGTTGATTCATGACCTTGAAACCATGGTCATATGAGCGTGGTTTATTATTCGTCAAGTTTTTTTCACGATGATGGAGGAATGCTCATTCATGCCAGGTGACTTTCACCGCGCCAGTGAATAAGTCAGTGGGAGCCTCATGATAATGGATTCCGTGGGTTTTCCTGTTGGAAATTCTGTTCAGAACCGTCCCGCAAACGAACTAGCTTTTTTTCTCATTCATGTGAATAAGAGTGTTATAGCGAAATGCGTTGGGCAGAAAAACAGTCCACTTGAGTGCTAGTTTTATGTGGGTTTTTATGAAATATAATGGCCATGAAGCACAAAATATATCTAGAGAGACTATTTCTGGGTAAATCGTTATACGCCATTGCGAACAATGATGAGGCAGAATGAGCTGCTTAATCTTTTAGCCGATCAAAAGCCATCCTTTCAGAGAATAGCGACATCGACTGTTGCAATGAGACCAAACCTTGACATGATATGACGGCATGCGTACCGCAGTGACCGAATGGGCCTTACAGGATGGCTTATCTCAAGCCGAATATTCAGTCATGCCTGGAAGATCAATGGGCAGGGGATTGAAGAAGCAGTCTCCCGTTCATCCAAGTCGGGGACTGGTTTGAACAGGCAGCTCAGTTGGTAAAACCAATGGAAGCATAATTGATGCAAACAGATGCACTTCTTCTCAGCCGCTTCCACTGTCTTGTGGATAGGTTCTTGTTAGAACTAAAGGCTTTGATTGAGAATCCTAATCAATCTCCTGCTCAACGTCTGGACTACTTAACGGTGCCCGCCCATCATCTCCCATAAACTGCACGAATACAAAAGATTTCACACTGCATCGGTCGTCGCACAGGATAAGCGGGACCGCGCTGCCAACAGCATTGAACGTGGTGGGTATAGAGTTCCCTTTGTTTCACTAAACCTTTATCTTCTGTCCCCAGCCAGCTATCTTTGCCCCCACTTTATAATCATATTGTTCCCACTGATAACATGCTCGATACTCGCAACGGTTCATTGTCAAATAGCGTCGTGAGTGATCCTCAATCTCACAACTTACATTTTCTCAAGCCTCGTCAGCCTCGGAATCTCGGCTTCTTTGACGTGCGTAAACTCATGGAGACCGGTCAGCAGGCGTGCGTAGCGTTCACACCCGACACCTTGGCAACTGATATCTGCTGCGTAAACGAAACGCATACACAGGATTTGAGCAGTGTGATTCAACTAACTGTTCCTGATATCTCATTGAGGTATTTCCTGCGCGCATCGAGAGACGAAAGAGTCAGGGCTGCGGGTCAACGTGGTGTAGGAATAATCTTGACTGACAAGGCTAAGTCTGCTCTCTTAGACTGGATCCCTGTTAACAGTCGTTTATGTGCTGTACAACTCCAAGGGTCAGTTGGCGTTCGAAAAGATAGTTGTGTTAAGCGTAATTGATTTGTGATCTCGGCGTACGCCCCAACAGACTGCAGCTCTGACATGCAGAAAGATGAGTTCTATGATGAACTCGCCACCCTCGTTCGCAGCATTAAAGGTTCTGACATTTTAGTGCTAGCTGATGACTTCAATACACAAGTTAGCAAACTTAGTGCATCAGAAGCTTGTTTAGGCGAGCGTTGTACTTTACCCGCTGAGTTTACAGATAACGGGAGTAGGCTTTTCCAGTTTTGTGCAGACAATCGATTGTTCTTGTCTAACACCAATTTCCGACACAGCTCGCGTTGCACAGCGACATGGCGCTCTAACTCTACAGATACTCTGAGTCAGGTTGATCATATCGTCGTAAGCTACCGGTGGCGCAGTTCTGTTCAGAACGGTAGGTCCTGCTGGTCCACGTACGTAGAGTCGGACCATGCATTGGTTTTAATGGAATCATCAGAGGTCAGTTTCGGAAACCAATCACACCACATTCTCCAACGTCTCCTGTGGCTCTTTCATTCGTGCGAAATTCAGATTAATTCCTGCACGAACGTCTACATGTAGAAATAGCACCATCCGTTACCTCATTCGCCTTCTTTCAGACTGCGCTCAAGTAGCTCGTTATCTTATTGTTTAGCTTCGTTGGTAATCAAAATATATTTACTGCCTACTTTTTGTTTTTACTCACCTTTCTGTCCACATTCCAATTAAACCCTTATACTCAGATGTTGAATATTAACCCTAGTCCGGTCTGTTGACTTGACTTGATTGTTTCTCCTTTATCTATGTGCGTGGTTTTCACTGTTCGCGCCCTAAAAAAGAAATCAAGCAGCTATAACAATTGCTAATGTGATTCGAATGATGATATTTGGCCGAGTCTTCATTAGTTTTATTTCCCTAACATCGTAGCCCGAATAGGACGCTTGTATTGTCCGTTCATATATTTAGAATCACACCTCGGATAAACACGTGCTAAACCTGATTACGATCCTTCGGAACGTTGTCAATCGATGTACCTCTAATCTTGATCTTACGATTTCGGTGAAAGAAACATACTCCGTGAGCACAAAGGTCCACTTCGTTATCGGAACGATCTAATAACTTCGATTTAGATTAGAGAATCACCTGAGGTCGCAGTAGGTCAAGAATGGCAACATGCTTGGCACTGCTGTACATTATCAAAGTCTAGCAGTGATGGTGGTGCTCAAATCTCAACTTACTCGACTATTGATCACGGTGTTATCAGTTTAGCTTCACAATACGGCTGCTTTTATTATATTTACCGTCAACATGGAAATCGCCTCATTATTTTTACCGTTCTACTTATCATCGTGATTTTGTAACAATACTGAAGCCATTAGGCCTCTTCACGCCACGTAACCGAGAGTAGCCGGATTTCATGGCACCACTCAATGTATTAGCGTTTGGATTTTGCGTTTCACGAAGATGTAGATACCTTTGGGATTCCAACCGAAGAAAGCTACGACCATAAACCCTAAACACTTCTTTTCAGTTGTTTTGTCGTTAATTTTTGCTTGTTAGATTCAGATTGCAGCGCGCTGATTGGGCGCCAATTAATTTTTAACGCACGTTCCTTCGACCGTGTCCCATTTGTCACGGTAGAATTCACCAAATGGTAGGCTGTGTCAGAACCCACAAGCATTTTTCCATCTTGTTTATCTCAACATTGTACAGCTTCCGTTACTCGACAGACGAACCAACTAGACCGCCCGTATTATTAGCGTCGCAGTGTTTTCGTCTGTTGCCAGTACGGTTGCAGCCTGTCTGCATTCTGATTGGTCGATTTCTGTGGTTGTATATTGTTTCCGCTCATGCGTGTGCCGGTACTGACACACACGCACGTGCGCATCCTATTTTGAACCAACCACCATAGTGCGTGTAGCCGGTGCTTGCGCACATTGTGATTGCTGTGATTCGGAATACCCTCCGTAGACAGTGCATTAATGAGCATGCGTGTGCACCATGGTCAAAACGCAGTGTTTGGAAATATCGAATAAAACCAACGTTGGGTACTCGGGAGATACGCACACACATTGAAGGATAATATTATTGTCTGAATCGTTTTTTTCTCTTTCTTGATTTTGTGCCTTCTCATTGTGCTCAACTCCGTCTTCATTGGATCAATCAGTCGATGCTAATCGCCTTATCTACTCTTTGGTCGCTGCACACGAAGCCAGCTTTAGTATTGAACCGCACACTGGATTACTAAAAGTGAGCAAAACTTTGGATCGTGAGACTCAAAATGTTCACAAATTGACCATCCTTGTACGTGACGGACCTCTCTCGTCTCTGTCCGAATCGTCTTCGTTTCTATTGAAAACCATTGCTGGTGCTACCGCGCCTCCCGGTACCTCTACCGTTGTTGAACATCGGTTTACGGCCACCACATCTGTGACGGTGCAATTGTTGGACGTGAACGACTCACCACCTCAGTTTGTGAATATTTCGGCGCACAAATTGAACGTATCCGAACTGGCCCCCGTCGGTCGTTGGCTTACACGCGTGCGCGCGGTCAGTCAGGATGAGGGCACAAATTCGTTGATACACTATCGCTTGTTAACAAAACAGGGCGAATTTGCGTTGAACCAAACAACAGGTAAGTCTGAGCTTACAGATGCAATGATGATACTGGTGGAAATCCTGTCGTTTTTTAATATACATTCGAGTAGATTTATTCTAATGCTCGAAATAAGACTCATGACCATGAAATTCAGACACCCAGTGAACGACACGCTATCGACTCGTAAATTTATGTTGAATCATTCCTACTATGAGTAATCTATGGGTTCTCGACCTCGAACGTAGATCTTCCTCTTTCAGTACCTTGTGAAGTTACATAAAGATGACTGGTGAGAATTTCCACCTTCTAACGGTGCTAAACTCTTCAGGTATTCCGTTTTCGCAATAATATAAATAAAATCGACATTTGAAGCACTAAGACACCTTCATCTTATTCATGAAAACAGAAAATAGACTTCGGTCGCTAAATGCAAACATCTTATTGGCAAGAAAGTTCATGAATGTATTTTTACTGTAGCACAAGTTCAGAAGTTTTGTTTTTTGAGCAGCTCGGTGAACAGAGCCAACAAGCCGATTTCGCTTACTCACGACACAGACCCAACAGACATCCTCCTCTCTACCGGACGCAGTGTATGATCTTCAGGTGCACATCCCGAGCTTGAATCGAACCGGTAACTTTCCGCTTATCAGGCAGCTTCCCTACCAGATGAGTTGTTGCAGTACAGCGAACCGGGTACTAATAATGCAAGTGAATATCCGATAATGCGTAACCACTATTCCAGTGATCCACAATAACTTCTGGTTTTAATCATCCATTTGTAGAATTTATCGGTACTACAACCAGAACCGTCAGATTGTAATGCATATTCTGTCTATTACGTCGGTTTACTTTAATGTCCTTCCACTTCTAGCAACAAAGCGTTTCCGCCTGACCAAAATGAATCTTCCTGTTCTGCGGTAGGGATGCATAACACTTGTACTTGTATAGCATTGGGAGACCACACCCAAATATTTACGAAGGAAAGGCGTAAATTCCTTGTTCTTTGAATTGTATTTTTGTTCAGTTTATTCTGTTTCTGGATTCAAGGTGGAGTGTAAGTTTGGAAGAATCGATCAGTTAAGAATATCGCATATGGGACAAACTAGCTGTTACGCTAATATGCCGAGCCAGCAATTGGTGGTTTGGTTACTGAATACACAGTTCCGGATGCCGAGTTTTACCCGCTTCTGTTTGGTAATTCGAAATTGCGCGGTTGTTCTTTTGGCTAGATCTACAGTTAAACACATGGGTGTGGCTCATCTGGAGCCCTGTTCTCAAGTTTGTCTTCATTTCACTTTCCGTCTGTTTTCTTCCACACTGCGGACCACAGCGCTGTTGTCTATCGAATTGTCTCGTTAACTGTAGGTCTACGTCAATATCAATCGTATTTTAGCAATAACTTCATGCTTGCCCACAACTGTTCCATCTTGTATTCGTTTTGTGATCTCACTTATTCACTCAAGTATCCACGCAAACAATTGCATGCATACACACACACACACACACATATATATATATATATATATATATATATATATATATATATATATATATATATATATATATATATAATAAGGAAAACACGCGTATACACGTTTTCCGAAAGAATGAATAGTTTTATTCGATTCACTATAGACAACACATGGTCGCATACTACGACCATTTTACCTCCAAATGCGCTCATCTGTTGCTCAGTTTTCATGTGGTACACTGTGTGCATATTGTATGCCTTGCTATTCCAAAACCCTGCTTCCGACAGGTCAGTTCACTGACTGTAAACCCATCCCGTCCGTTTGGCAATGGTTGAATCAATTCCACAACAATTGCATCGGTATTCACGCGTCCACTGTGGTTGATTGTACATCTCTCCAATCTGATTCTCATTCTCACCTGTGCTATCGTCAATTGTGTGACTAGTTGTTTTAATTGGACTGTGTATGTGTTCGCGGCGATGGTGGGTAGACACTTTGTGATGTGCTTGATTTAATTGTCCAAGCAGAGATCCAATGTTCGTGCCGCTTTGCTTGGTCTCTTCCCCATAAATTGGGTTTTAGGCAGACTTGGGGGGTGGGATGGGGGTAATATGGTAATATGAATCCAGTTTTTCTGACTCCTGTTCTCGATCTTTTCTGAACCTTTTTCGGCGGCTGGTTGGCGAAGTCAGCCGTGTGGGGGTGTTTAAGCTCGAGAACTGGTGTAAATTCAGTTGTACTTGGATGTTTGGAGCCAGTGCGTTTGATAAAAGCAGATGTTCTGTGAATCTACCGCTTATCTATTGTTTCGGATTTGTCTGCGGTTTCAATTACTGAACCTACTTGTGTACATCTGCTCTTCCTCCGTATTGGGATCGAAAAAACACGTCCACTTGCACTGGGCGGATGATTGAGTATACTTTGTGTGTGTGTGTGTGTGTGTGTGTGTGTGTGTGTGTGTGTGTGTGTGTGTGTGTGCTTCTGTGCCACTGTTGCACTCCCATTGATAGTTTCTTCCCATCTTCATCTCTCTCAACCACACACCCGATGGTTCTTAAACTATACTGATGCCTACTGTGGTTTGCAGACTGTACAGGGTCAGACGCCACTTTTTTGATCGGCTGACTCCTAGAGAGCGTCTATGTTGTATCCTTTTCTTCTGACCAGGTCGCTGTTTTCCGTGGTCATAAGCTGGTGTGTGTGTGCGTGCGTGCGTTAACCGCATGTGTCTGTGTTTGTGTTTGTCTATGCGTAGAACCGGGACCGGCCAAACGTCATTAATAATCACTTTTCTAATGACCTTTAAGCAACATGTCCGTTGGTACTCGTTCACGTGGCTTTCATCTTGCTTCTTCCCTATTTTGCACCGCATTGGTTTACTTTCCTCCCGAGATTGATCTAACGTGTTATTTCTCCCCGTGTACGAAATATTTCGCTCGAAAGTTGTGTCTGTTTCAAATCAGGATCATCCAAACATCCTAGGCGGTGTTCGCTATTTCAGTTGTGAGAGCTAGTGAAGTACGAAGCAACACAAAAGAGGCCATCACCGTGACTATCATTGACGAGCGACGATGGTCGTGTTGTGTGAACCTCTATCATCTGTGCGACACAAGGTTCGAACTCGCCATCACCGATCTCATTAATTAAAGACTGCGATCCGCTACCACCCGACCCATCACTACACCTGATCCATTTGGACTTCTTAAAGGCCCTTGCAAAACAATCATACGCAAGCTTGGTACGGATAACTGATCGATACCCGACAGAAATCTCTCGTCTTGCGACTGACGGGATTCTCGTCCTTCACAGTGGGCCCCGTTCTTGTGTGGCTATTCCTGTTCTGTTGCTAGACAAAAAGGTGACCGCATACTGAGACACAGATGGATGCGACACGTTCGTGCTACGCTCACGCATTTGTCCGGAAACATGCTTTTCTTTGCAGATCGGTTCCCTTCTTTAAAGGCCCATCTTCTACGAAGAAAATGAGGTCATAGTTGCGTGAATGCCAGCTGTGGTGTTCGCTAGCAGTCCTAACAGCTCTAGTAAGAAGATCTTTCTACCTTGGGATCATCTCGTTTTATGAACAGAAAACAGGCAGTTTGTGTAGGGTGCAAGAGTCACTGTCACCAATCGTCGCACCACAAACTAGTTGGTTCAAACTGGCATCGGGTAAAATCTCTTCTGATTGATTGATTGTTGATACTGCCAGGCACCACTAGACGGGAATCCTTTCTCCTCTTATCGATCCGTCTTCCTGTCGCTCGTGATTCCGTTCGTTCAAACCTTGATCTGGATTTTGGACAGGTACTGATGGGCTGACTGCTAACACAGCTTGGCCATCTGTCGATGATGAGTCAGGCCAAATCTTCACACATTGATTACTGCGGTCTCCGCGTTCACCAGGCTCTAATGCACGGAGGGCGCTTTTCTACATGAGATCCTCATATTTCTCCGCTTGGGATTTGTTCTCTCAGAATCAGTTATATGAGCGTACGGAGAACAATGAAATTTCTGGATCTAGTGAAACAGTTTCATTTTGAGTGGTTACATCTCCAATGAATTCTTATCGTATGAAGATAATCAACTTTTTCCCAGAATCCATGACATCAAATATGGATTGCTATCTAACCGAGAGATTTCCGGTCTTCAACAATTAAAATTGAGCAGGTCGCCTGAGGTTCATTGTCAAAGTGATACCTCCCTGCTCCATCGGCAGTCGACTATGTACTGTCCTTACATTATTCGTTTGAAATCGCTATACTTCGGTTTTGATATTGCAACGAATTTATGCGTCTGTGTGACTGGTTTTTATATAAAATCTTCAAGTAATTGTTATATCACTCTCTGGACAACTGATCGTTTGTTTGTTTGTTTGCATTCATTATCTTTGGTCCGCTTTGACACGAACCACAGTGTGTTCTCAATTCCAGCGCTCGCATCCACTATTCCTGTACAATTCGACCCAGTCTCGGGAATTTTCAGCTGCTTTTTCTACATGTCTGTTGTGTTTTTCTCCACTACCAGCAAAACAACATGCCACCACTTTTTGCGTGACATGACATTTACTCTCGGTTGCCAATGTACCTGTTGTGCTTTTCAGTTTTCCTATTACTTACGTCGAAAGAAAACAAGCACCTCTCTCTCTCTCTCTGGTTGTCATTGTTTCAACGTATATGGTGTCATGTGTCGTCTGGCCCCATCTTTAGGATCATTTCAACAGTTGCTCATAGTTGCTAATTGTTGCCCCGATTCCCAACTCGTACATCAGTTCAGCTATGATCACTTCTTAGTCTGTATGTCCGTTTGCATGTGTGCACTCGTGAGCTGATTGATACGACAACAGACTGGATCTGCGGCGTTGCTTTCTGAGTCTACATCTTGTGTTGCGCGTATGATGCCAAATTGCCAAGATGCGGTTCATTCCGGGGTTTATGCTAGCTGATTTGCGGATAAGTTCTTTCCGAATAATTTGAATAATAAGTGATTTTGGTTGCCCATTATTCATTATCAATGCTCAATTCACCATTGAAAAAAATGGAGACGCTCGATATATATATATATATA